TTATTTATTTCAGGATACAGAGAGACAATATTTTTTACATCTAATTGTAGCAAGTGCTTGCCAGGTCTTCATTACAATTCATGGAATTGCAATGAAGATAATTTTGACAAAAACGTTTTTTAAATGCCCTTTCGAATTGTACAGGTGTTGGATTAATTAAATTCCCACCCTGTTGCCTAATGGACCCAACAAATTTTTCTAGACAGTCACTGTTGATTCTTCTAGCCATTAAATATTTAAATCCCGCAGCAGATAACCATTCCCATACAAATTTTAAACCATAAAATCGTTAAATATAAATATCTAATTTTTATGATGTGACGTTAATAGTATTTAATTATATACATAGGTAATATAAGCAATTGGGCAGCATTTTGCTTAACGGGTGACTTACAACAGGCATTTGCTAAAACTCATCTGAAGTCAAAAATTTGTACGTAGGAACAAAAATTGAAATAAAATAATTCTTGTATTGTAAATTCATTAAAAACTTACTAATTTGTAATTGTGTGTTTTAATAAATATTATTGTTATATGTTGTTTCACTTCTAAAAAGATACCTACATAACCTCATTTTAAATAAAAAAATAAGGTGCTGAGTTAATTTATTAGTTCCAGGAAGAAACCAAAAACTGTTTGACACATTTCATACAATGAATGGCATACAAAAGTAATTTATTTTATTCTAATGATAAAATTTTAAAATTGGCACATCTATATTTTCACCGGAACTCATTTATTTAAGTTACACAATATTTTGATTAATTTATTTGCCTAGAATACATTAAAATGTTATATGTACATGTTTTAATTTTTTTCTAATTGTACATCGCTAATTTGCAATTTTAGAGTTTACTTTTCTCCGTGTAGAAATAAGCGACAAAAACGTCAACTGTCATTGAAAATCTGACCACCCCGACATCAAAGAAGCCGACGCAATCTGTCGCTACTGTATTGTTCTTTATACTGAGCCTGAAGTTATTAAAAGCCTGATTTACACCACACATACAACTTTATAGCAACCATGAATACTAGAATAGCTACTTTTCTCAAAGTTGTTATATAGTTGCTATAAAAATAATACAACTTGTAAGTGTGTAGATGCGGCTTCTTCGAGTCGGAAGTGCCGGGACGTCAAGTGAAGTGAAATTTTATCATTTGAAAATGGTTACATTTTGTTGGTGGACAGCTACATCTCGGATAAACAAACGCAGATGTAGTAGGCGAGTCCGATGTGGATAAACAAACGCTCGAGATGTAAAAAATGCATCGGATGGTGGATATTCAAACGCAGTAAATACATGTGATATTACGGCAAAAATCTTAAATCTACACCACTGAACAATGCAATACATCACCTAACCTTACTTATGAAAAGACACTTCAGCACTCACATTATCCAGTTTTTTGGACAAAATACACTCGCTAACCATGTTGTTAGCCATACACTAAAACTGTAAGCCGAAATATTCCAAAAAAGCAAAATAAAGAGATATATATGAATAAAACAAGGTTATTTTTAATTGCGGTGTTGTCACGTTTAAAGCTTTTAAAATCCATGATCTTATTTGCAGACGTATTAATAGTGTGCCATAGTTTAACTATTTGCAAAATTGTTATTTAGCAGGCGTATGTATGTAAGTAAAAACGATAGGTACAAAAATGCCCTGCATAATAGTCTAAAAATATGCTAAAATATCAAGTCTGCTGAAAGCAGTTAAAATACCTTAATGTACTTTGTACACGTTTTTTTGTTTTGTTAAAAGTCATTTTATTTAGAGACACTATTAGAAATGTTTCGGGAAATATTGCAACAACTCTGTCCACAATCCCTCGGAGTGGGAAACACTGCACTAGTTACGAAAATGAATTGGTGTGGACGCTTGGTGTGTTGCAATCTATCTCGAAACTAATTAATAAAACATGTTGCTATTAGTGAGTTATAGGTAAAAACTATTTTTAAATGTTAAAGGGGTTAACCATACAGCCTGTCAACAGCGCACCAGGAAACGCATGTCGGTTCTTATATGAAATCGCTACGCATTACGTTTCTTTGAATGTATGACCGGGTTTACAGGTAAATAAATGTATCTGTTGTTTCTATAATCTGCGATTCCAATCACACAAATATTGTGTAAAATTTGTAAAACCACCCCATAGTTGTGTAGAGTTTATAGAGAATTTAGAGATAGGTATAGCTTTCATAAGCCGTATAGAAGAGTCGGATGTGGCAGGTACGATTCATATCTACACCGACGACGGTTCTAAAATAAAACGAGTCTCAGGATGTGGAATAGACTTCATCCTTAAATCTAAACATAAAATGAAGAGCTTTGGAGCAAAACTGAATAAATTTACTTTTTATGAAAATTAAGTAAGCGGCGGATTTCAACTTTGTTAAATTACATCTTTATAGACTACTTGTCCGAGCAAACCCGAATAAATCTTTGTAAAATTCACGGTCGAAATTGACGTTTTTGTGTAAAACTGAATAAATCCACTAGTAAAGTGGTGTAAACAACACATCTACATTCGCTGTAGTTTAATATCAGTTTGTAAAAGATACTTCTTTAATTTTGATTTGTTTTTCCTCTTACATTAGGGCGCGTAGTTTTGAATTTTGATTTTAGTAAAACAATTAATTTTTTGTCGTATTTTTAACAAAAATTATTTTTCAAAATTATAATTGCAAAGGATATATTATTAATGACGTCAAAAATAGTATTATTTTAACAAAACAAACGAAAAAAATCAGTACTTTTTGTGCAATTATAAAATCGTGTTTTTCCAAAAGTCGTTTATAGTGGATTTATTCGGTTTTGCTCCAAAGCTCCTCAAATGGGCTGTGAGCAATAGTGCTAATGTAGTTCAAAATGAGCTCACAGGTATTCTCATAGCAGCAAAAGAAACAATATCAGTGGAAGCAACATGCTCAGCTATACAAAAATACTACTAACCCTGGACAGATCACGAATTTACTCATAGTCCAGTTATTTAAGCTTAAATTAGGTAAGAATCTTGGAATTCGAGATACCCAGCTGTAAGTCTGTAAATACTTGTATATTGACACCTTAAAAGTTGTCTCAAAACCTACATATGGTAGGGTGTACGCAACTATTAAATTTCAAGGTCAAATGTCACAAAAATCGGTTTTTTGCGCTTTTTTTTGTAAATATCTCATTTCCTATGGGTTTTTTGCTATTTGTATTTATTATCAATATTGTAGAATACAAAATTCTCTACAAATTTTGTTTAAAAAAATTCAGACTACAGTAAGAACGTAAAAGCTATGGAGCAGCAGAGAAGAACTGCTGCACTTTCAAAAACGTATGAAGTCTGTTTCGATGAAACAATGGTTGTACCAGTTACTCAAGAAAAATTCTTATCAAATCGAAATAACAAAGATATGCTCATTAATATGTTAATTGAAAAATTACAAGCTGCAAATATTACCAGGTATGGGGTTGGGCAATGCGAAACGATTTTCTGGAGCCTATCATGACAATTTTACCACCTGCTCCAGAAGATTTGCTAAATACAATTTTCTGCAACTGCAAGAGTGGTTGTGGTTCGCGATGCGGATGCAGGAAAGCGGACTTGCAATGCTCTTTAGCTTGTGGCCAATGTAATGGGCAAGCTTTTCTCAATGCTCTACCATATCAGAGCGACATTAATGAAGATGGAACCTTTGACCCCGAAATCATGGAAGAACTTGAAACAAATGTCGTTGAAGACGATAATGAAGACCAGTTTGAAATTTACCAGCAGCCGGAAGACGACGATGAAGAGGAAGATGATTAAAATTATAAATTGTAGTTTTGGTACCCTTTATTCCATTTTTTTACTTTTAATAAAAATAAAAGTATTGAATGATATTTTTTAATAAAAAGATTAATTCATAATTTGTTTTTTTTTTTTCATCATGTAAGAAGTTATTAATATTAATTAGGTTAAAATTCAAATATAATTCCTATATTTTCATTAACAATTCTGCAATTACATGGGCAGGTAAGTGTTGTTAAATAAATTAATACTGAATAAAAAGTGGATAGGTTAGGAAAAAAATTATAAAATATAATATAATAGTTAATAAAAATTGACAAATATTTATAATCATTGATTTATCGATAGCTAATCAACTAGCGTTTTCGACCGGAGGCACCGGTTGACCTGAAGTGATGCTGTGACCGCGCTCTCTCCGCCCTCTATTTTTTAAACAAAATTTGTAGAGAATTTTGTATTCTACAATATTGATAATAAATAGAAATAGCAAAAAAACCCATAGGAAATGAGATATTTACAAAAAAAAGCGCAAAAAACGATTTTTGTGACCTTGAAATTTAATAGTTGCGTACACCCTACCATATGTAGGTTTTGAGACAACTTTTAGTTTGTCAATATACAAGTATTTACAGACTTACAGCTGGGTATCTCGAATTCCGAGGTGAACTTACTATAATGACTGGACTATCAGGGTTAGCACTAGTATCACGAAGCTTTGGCCAAAGTATCCACCAACAATGTGGTCACCTTAAGATGGATCAACGGTCACACCACATCGATATTATTAATATTGTGATGTTTCTCATTTGCATTTGTATTTATTTTCTTATTTGGAATAAATAATAAAAATAATAAATAAACAAATAATAGCTTTTAAGTTAACCCGACAACACCACAGCAAACAAATACTCGACTACGACTACATAGAATATGCGCCTGATCACAGCCATTCAGACTAGTCATTTCCAAGTATGGACTGACATAATATGTGGCTGTGCACTCTGCGGTTTTCGTTCAAGGATGACTCAGCCAAGTCCGACTTGGCTGAGTTCGGTTTATAAATATGGGCCTTTGTCTTTTTAATGAATTTTTAAAATTAGTCAAAGTTAGCTAAAACGCCACTTTAAGTGCTGCCTCCTGATGTAATGCGCTTTATATCCATTGAACTGATGATTGACCGATATAGATTATGGGCATAGGGTATAAAAAAAAACCATTTAAAATAATAGTTTAATTTAAGTAATAGGTTGAATCAAGTAAAATTTTTGAATACGACACTAAAACTGATAAAATAATGCATACTCAGATCACAATATAAAACACCATTAGAATATTAACAAATATATTTATCATTAATTTCCGGGGCCCTCTTTGGCTACGTACAGATTATCCGCTATTTCTAATACATCTCTGTAATATTCACACTGTTTGGCCAGCGCCGTATTTATGCCGTCTTCTCCCAAATACGCTCCCGCTATAGCTCCTGCCATGCATGCTATCGTGTCGGTGTCACCGCCCAAGGAAACTGCATACTGCACTGTTCTTCTGAATACGTTCTCAGTCTAAAATAAATTTGGAGACATATTCAAATAATATAAAACGCAATGATTATCATCAAATAACTCATTTAGTTTTTCACTTTTTATGTCCCTGTAGAAAAGTTATTAGGTGAGGTTAGTCTTAAATGGAAGCTTGGTCTAGGAAAATTTAGTCAAGATGCGGTTTGGGCCGACATTTCAGCATCTGGAATTGTCAGTCCATTATTATTTTTAAGACAATTGCAACAACACAATAACAGTGAATTCCAAACATTTTGTACATACGATTCTTGATTTTTCAACACCTGATCTTCAAGAATTTAAAGGATTTGATCAAAAAACCTGGTTTCAACAAGACTGAGCCATCAATCACTTCGAATCGTTCTTTGGCCTTCCCAAAGACTGGGTTGGACTCAATGCTAATTTTTTATGGGGATATTTTAAAAGTCTAGGGGACTGGAAAGACAATATTTGGGCAGAAATGGAAGCCATAACTGAACAAACTTGTCAAAGCGTGATGACAAATTTTAGAGATCGACTTCAAGAGTGCCAGGAGGAAAATGTGCAACATCTGGACATTACTATTATCCCAAGTTTTTTTTAAAATTTGAATTCAAAAGTGAAAAACTAAAAAACTTTCGGTTTAGAATCATGATAATTTAAGAAACCTTACCTGAATAGATGGTATTTCATTGAGAGCCTTCAAGAAACAATAGATGGCAGTGGGTACAGATTCGTAGGCGGAAATGCCGTTACCCAAATTCAAAATTACTTCCTCGTCCAAATCGTCATCGTGTTTTTTTTGTAACAAATTTTCGACTACGCGCAGCTTGTTTTGGTAGGCCTTCCTGGTACCGTCATCTCTAAAATTACCAACAGACAGCAAGTTCTTTCTGTACAAATTGGCTTAGGGTCAAAGTGGGTATTTTTATTAAAAATGGTGTAGGGTTTAATTAATTCTCTCTGCCCCCAAACGAAATTTATGGAAAATTACCTGTAGACGTTGTTGAAAGACAAGAAGTTAGAAATAATTGTTGTAAATCTCGGTAACTTAAATTTTGAATATCTGAGTAAAACATGTGAAAAAAATCTACATGGGCATCTGAAATGGAAGTTTCAAAGGAGTTGGACACTCTTTAAATTTTGTACACATTTAATTGTATTTAAAAATGTGTGTATTTATAAGTATTAGAGCCAAATTTAAATAAATGCTAGTATTTAAATATATATTGAAATATAATTAGAGCTATTTAAATGTATTTAACCACATTGTAATCACAAAGTATTAAACTGTATTTAAAATTATTAAACTTTATATGTAAGATTTACGGAAATAATATATAATAAAGTCGATTTTAAATAAAAATAAGTATTTACTGCATCACACCTTTTAATAGGTTTTATAGGGGTGGTTAGATTAAAGTTTTAATGAACATAGAAACAGAAATAAGAGTATTTTATGTTATGACCAAACTCATCTTCGACTATTTTAAAATATTTAAAAGTGTTTAAAATTATTAAAAAAAGATTTTTTTTATTATTTAGGTTTTGTATTTAAAAGTATATAAAGGTATTTAACAGCATTTAAAAATATTTAAAGGTATTTAAAAAAATTTAAAGGTATTGTATTTAATTTAAAAGTAAAGGTATTGTAATTAATTTAAAAGTAAAGATATTGTATTTAAAAGTATTTACAACTATTTTAATATATTTAGATGTTTCTAATAGTCAAATATTTAGATTTTCTAATTTTGTTTAAATATATTTAAGTGTTTATTTTTAACGAATGAAATGTATTTACAGCTACTGAAATTTATTTAGGTATTTAACTATGAATTTAGTTACTTATTTCAATAAATATTTTTCAAAATTTGTACCACTATTTAAGGAGTGTCCATTCCTTCACATAAGTCTTATTCAATTTTATAAGCCCCCTAACAATGGAGGCCGAAGCTAGGCCGAAATTACACTTAATATGATTAAAGTGGAAAGTGCTAGATTGCTACAAATTGGTCTCATTTGTAAAGAGTGCGTCAAGTTTTAGGTTAGAATCGTTCATACAGTCACCCCTGAAATACTGAAACTTTAAATAAACCCCGTTTATTATAATATATTATAATATTAATAAATGTTTGATGAAAAACTGAAACAGTTTAACACAAATTCAGTTTCCATAAGGTCAGAGAGTAAATCTACGGTTCTAAGTGTCTACAAAACTTACTCTTCCTCGATATCGTCTAAATCCTCTTCGACTCGTTCGATTTTTCTCATTCTTCTGTACAACTCCGCGCAAAATCTTTCAGGATCAATTTTGGCCTCCGGATCGCATTTAACGGCTAGTTGAATGGCCACGGATTGCAATAAAGCTCCGTTCACGCCCAGTATATTCGTGTGTGTCAATTTAGTGGCGTTCGTTGCCACTTCCAGCATCGTTTTGTAGTTGTCGTGGAAATAAAGGGCTACCGGGGCGATTCGCATAGCCCCACCGTTGCCGTACGAACCGGCACCTGTTTAAATTTTAGAATAAGGGACACTACATAATGTGAAATCAATCATAAACAAATACATATTGGAACTTATGGTCAGGGATTTGGTTCATAACTGGATTTTTTTTAAAAAAATTTATGCAGGAAAAGCTCATTATAGAAAAAAATACCTATACAATTCGCTCATTTGTGAGAATACCAACACAATTCAAAAATCATCAAATGAAAACATAATTGAAAAGGTACATTCTTTATACAGAAATAACGACCCTTACGTAGTTTTAGTGGCACTACTATTGACACTTTTCAAGTTTCAGCCTCTTAAATCAATTTTCAAACTTGGATTATCTCGAATTGAAGTTTTTTGAGTTACGTCGGTATTCTCACAATAATGTTCATACTTTAATAATACAAATCTATGAATATAGGGTCATGGCACTACTTATGGCCACCTTAACAGAAAAAATAAATAGAAATACTATTTGATAGGTTGAAGTATATAGTTTTCTATAGTATATGCATCTACTTTGTTAAAAGCATGTAATTCTTTTTTTACATTTTTTATATAGAAGTGAAAGAAATTCTTTACTTTTGGCCATCAGTCCGCCACTAGTTCTCTACTTATGGCCACTAATTTTTAAGTTGCATTTTTAAATATTTATTTAAGTGCATGTTTATGTATATGTATGTACCCAGTAGTGATTTAGAATAGGTATGGTATAATAAATTAAAATTTTTGTTAAAATATGAAATTTATTTTTCATGAACATTTTGGAAGGCGAGACCGAGACCGACTTCAAGTGCAAAATGACAGCATAGGAAACCGAAAGCGGTCTCTAAACGTCTGAATATATGAAATTAAGTGAAACACATTTGGGAAGGCGCTACCGACGACATCACTTTTAGTATGATAGTATTTGCTGCTTGCTGCCTTCCACTTGAAGTCGGTATCGGTCACGCCTTCCCAAATGGTACCTTAACACTTCCTAAAAATGTTATAACCAATTTTTAACCTTGTTCTACTAGAGAATGCTCGGTTAACAGTCCTAAAACATCAGATATGGGAACAGTGGAAATCTCATTTTCAATATATATCCAAACGTAGTTTTTTCTTTGCGCGTTTTAAGCCTAGATTCATATTTCATTCTCCATAGTTTGGCGTACAACATATTTATACACGGTCGATATTCTTTTGCCACAGGCACTAAATTGTATCAATATATAAATTCGCCCGGTTTTAATGTTTTGCCTAACTGCATAATCGCTGAGGGTTCTATATCTGAGAAACTGCCACTGAGGTCAGATGCCAGTGACATTTCATCTTCTTAGCTAAAAAACCAACACAACCCATACAATAACTGTGGTGGCCATAACTCACGAATTCTTAATTTCTTGACATTACTAGTGGCCACACTGATATTTATTTTTATTTAAAAAAAATATGATGTTAAAAACAAAATACATTGGGTAATTAACATCTACTTACCTTTGGAATGGTAAGTTTTCAAAAATATCTGTAATAAATCTAAGTTTTGTTCCAATGTTTACAGATAAATTCTTAGCCAAAACAACAAGTAATGCTTGCATGTATTACACATACTAACTATTTATTTTACTGATTTCCAATGGACTTGGTTTATTAGTTACAAACCTGCCCAAGCATGTAACCACATGCTCATTTACCTTTTCCAACCACCATTTTTGTTTACAATGTTGCTAAACGTTTATTTTTAGGTCTTAAAGCAAGAAGTGGCCATAAGCAGGGTAGTAGCCATAAGTAGACCCTAGATTGACAGAAAAAAGAATCTTATTCATTAGCCTTGGTATACGAAACTGAATAAGTCCCTTTAGAACGCATTTTTATATGAGGTTTTAATTCTTAACAACATTTAAATAATTCAATTTTATTATGAAAAGGGATTTTAATAAAAATGTTTTTTTTTTAATTAAGTGATATTTATGATCAACATAATTGACCAAATTAATTGAGGAAACTGAATCTGTTATGGATGTAAAAACACCAATTCGTTACCGTTCAATTTGCTCACAGATAATATCGATGCAGTTTGTGACAGTGTTGAAGATGATTTGAAAATGTCCATTCCATGACGTTCACAACAACTGAACATTCTGCCAACCACTGTTTGGCTAATCTTGCATTATCATTACAGGCTCATAAGGTTCAGCTGAAGTGAGGAAGCATGTTTTTATCCCAGTGTTTAGGTTAACAAACAAAACTGCCGCATATGGGGTGGAATTTGGTCTGGTGGTGTGATTAAATTGTACCTTTTTGAAAATGCTGTTGGTAATGCTGTAACTGTCATGGTCTTTGATAATGTGAGATGTTAACTGGATTTTTGTGGCCTGAATTTAATATTGATCTGGTGGACATGTGGTTTCAACAGGACAGCACAAGCCCCATATTCACTGACACAATGGATTTATTGAGAGAAAAAATGTCTGGACGTTCCAGAAATGGTGAAGTTAAATGGCCAGAAAAATCGTGTGATTTGACACTCTTGGACTTCTTTCTTTGGGTCTATATGAAAAATCAGGTCTACAAAAACAATCCACAAACGATTCATGATATAACAACCAAAATAATTTGAGGTATTGGTTAGATAGAACCAGCATTATGTGAAAACGTGATGCAATTTTTTTATAAAAGAATGGCTATTTGTATGGCAGCAAGAGTTGGTCATTTATAAGATATTCTTTTTAAATATTTGCCAAACCTTTAACTTTTATTTTGAATAATTACAATCGATATTCTATGTTTGTTAACCAATAAAAAATTGTGTCCCTAATAGAAAACTCTTTAGAAACAAGTTGCTGCAATTAATTAATCCCAAAATCAATTTTAATAATACAATAAGGTCAACAGTAGGTTTCAAAATAGTGCTGCCATGCTTAGATATAAACTAAGCATTTGATTTGGGCACAGAAGATTAGGGTATAAATTACACAGAATTATTCACATCGCCTCAACTGGTTACTTAAAAACCATTTAGAAGGAAGAAAAAGCAAAATAAAATAAACAATGTGTTATCTGAACCATTTACTGTTTCCCAATGTGTCCCTCAAGGTTCATACATTTATTGTTTTTATATCACAAATAATTATATGCCACTTCAATAGTTGTACATGATCATAGATTAGTTAGTGCAGTGAACAAGAATGTAATTGTACATAAAAAATATTAAATATGTCTCAAACAATAGAGGCTAATACCCAATCCCAAAAAGAGTCAACTAATATTATGCAATCATGTCATTAAATATCAGTTACAATATCAAATGTTTTGGTCAAACCCCAAAGTAACATTAAATATCTTTGAGTAATAAAAATAGACAACAAACTAAACTTCAAAAAAGCTCTGTATAACCATCAAGAAAAAAGTAGTTACATGAACCAAACAATTTAGAGATCTGGTGTGATTTTTGCAAATAATGTGTAGGTACTCCTGAAAAGACTTTTCATGACATAAAACTAATTTTGCCAAATGTTGACTGAAGTGGTTTTTGAAATGACCGATTCAAATGATGTATTGTACAGGATGTGATTGCTCTTGACTTGATTAGTTGTCAGGTTATACAGTAATATGTACACAAAAATCAATTCTAACATAATATTCCACTTAAATTTTATAGATTTTTATTTTGGGAGTGGTCAAATATTATAAATATTCTTCTTTGTTTAAGTAAAGTTAAAATTGCTGACATATACATATAAATAATTTGATTAATCATAAGTTATTGTAAGAAAAAAATATATAGGAAGAAATTGAACAATGTATTTATCGGTGAAGAATAATTTACAGGAAGAAATACAACATATATTTATCAGTGAAGAATAGTTCAAAGAACTCAAACCGAAGTTTAGAAACAATTTATTACTAAATATGAATAATAAGCTACTGGTGTATGAACCAAATCTATAACAACACCAGGAATATTCCAAAGAGTAAGTTTCTTAACTGACTCACCCATAAACTGTTCTTTTGCTGGCTTGTAAACATCCTCAAATTTACTGTTCCGCAACTTATGAAACACTTCTACAATATTTTGGCCATATCCACGTTTCGGTTCTTTAAAAAACTCTGTCACAAATAACCGAGCCAAAAATCTATAATCTGGTTCTGGTTTGTCTGTTAAAAATTTGGCGACCGACTTCATCATGGCTGTATCATCAGTGTAGGACTTATAAGGAGCTTGAAGTAAAACATTTCTGTTACATATTTTTCATTTGCTACAACTTCACAATTCAAAACTTTTAGAGATGAAATAGGTTCGTAAGAATTGCCGAAAGAAGAGTTTTTAAAATTATACTGTACTCATGAAATTATCTTTGAACTTCAAATAAAGCTCGTTAAAAATAATATCAAGACATTGTTAGAGAAATCAAGTGATACCTCACAAAAACGATATTTTATCGATTTTCGTAACTTACCAGTAAAAGTAGGATCTTCAAGCTTATCATAATATCTCTGTATTACCAGTTTATCTCCATGCGTGATGGTGTCACCTTCAAAAGGAGCCCCTGTACAATCTCCAATTAGGGCTCCAAGCAAACAGCCTCGAAACTTGCTCTTAAGGACCGAAGCTTCAATTTTGGCCATAGTAATTAGTTTTGGAACAGACATTAACGTATATTATTATTTATACATAATTTAGAGACGCGGAAAACGCAATTTATTTTTATTTTTTAACATTAACTTGACAGTTTTGACTTTGACGTGTGAGATGTCAATGTCAACTCTTCTGTTTCCCAGACAACTAGCACAAGCCTGTTACTTTACGGTATTTTGTAAGTCTTGGGCCTCTTCCATTACGGTATTTTGTAATTTTTGGGCCTCTTCCTTTTCGGTAGTTTGCATTAGACGTTAGCAAGAGGAAATTTGATTTTTAAAATTTTCTCCCAAAAATACAGTCACCGATGTTTTCTAATCAACCAAAATATGCAGGTAAATCTAGTTCTTTTAGGTAATGTTTAAGGCATAATGACAATAAACACGATTACTGTAGCTCAACTATTTATTATGGAATGAAATAATTATTAATACATAAGGGTGTCAATATTATAAATAATTTGCCAAACACTGCATAATAAATGTCAATTAATAGTAAATTAAAATATAAAAAACTTCATTCTAACAAATCCTAGAATCCCTGTTGGAATTGTTTCGATTCTAACCTGTTCTGGAGAATTTCTAACTGTCGCTTCGCCTCGCACTGTGGGAAATTGTTGAGATCGTAATACTGCGGCGCTATTTTCAACAACCAATCGGCTGAAAAAGAATAAATAAAGAATATATTGGATAATTTTCGGACAACTGAGACATCAGAACTGACAACTGACAGTTGATTACTTACGTTTAATGTCTGTTACTGTCCTAATGTAATTTTTGGTCGTCAATACGAATTCATTGTAGATTACCCATTCTGGCTTGTGATCGAGGCACGTGGATGGATGTAGTTGGACTATTTGGTTGTCTTTAATTGTAAGGTAGTGTCCGGTCCTTTCCAAATGTGCAACCTTAAAAATAGAGATATAATAGAAATCTTGCTGAAAAGGGGAATGAGTTAGTTCTTTTTATAGGGTAAATTGGGATCACTGTTTTAAAAATTGACCAGTTTAAACCAATTTATTGTTTTGAAAATGTAATAAATAAAAAGTGTTACTTAAACAGAATGAGACAAGAATGGTTGGACGTGATTTTAAAAAGGAATGGCAAGGATAACAAATTAAATCAAGTATATGAAGGCTTCACTTTTCTAACCTGCATGAAAAATCCGTTGACAAGCGCTTTCCTAATGTTGATGTAATAATCTTTGCTAGTGAAGTCTGTGGACGTCCTTTTCAAGTTGAATCTGTCCATGATCCTTGACAGTTGTTGCCGCACGTTGTCAGCGGATTTTAAGGAACGATAATTGACGAAATTGTCGTAGCACCATTGCGGATCTTCCATACCTAGATTTGTCAAAGAAAATTATAATGTGTCTTGCATTGTATGGTCCGTAATTAGATCAAAACCTATATTAATCGAATATTAAGAGCACTTTCACAAACGACTGATGATCAGGATTAACTGATTCTAACTTGCATGGGTTTGGTCAATGGGCCCGTTCACTTTTATTTTTGAATGTGAATTATTTATATATTTATAAAGATATTAAACTCTTTTGTCTGGTGGTACTTTTCCCGTTAAGATATTTTTGCTAGAAGTAAGGGAATTCCCATAAAATTCTTTCAGTGACTCATTGCGTCAGAAAACCCCTAATTCCCTTCAGGTCTCGTATCAGTTAATAGTTAAAAGGGCGCGGTTGTCGGATGTATCATTGCACCACCATTCCTCTTCTGCATTTATTAAAGAAATTTACATGATAAAAATATATTATTTTTTAAAAATAATGTGTTTATATTTTCAGATAAAGCTGGAAGCCCTACCTTTTTTAAATTTTAATAAAAACAATTAGTATTACTCAAGCTGAATATTACCAGATCGAAATTTTATTTGAGAAAATGTATCTGGTAAACGTGACAACGTTGTAAGTACTTCTAAATAGTGTTGTCTACACACACTTCTAGAAATAAATGCAACGTTGCCACGTTTACCAGATAAATATTGCAAATCAAATTTCTACTTTTTTATTATGGTCTGGTTAATTTTCAGCCTGAGTAATAATAATTGTTTTAATTAAAAAGTAAAAAATAAGCTCCCAGCTTTAAATCTGAAAATATAAGTTCATGATGTTTAGAAAAATAATGGAATTTTACTATTTAAATTACATATATAAATGCAGAAATGCTATATTAGGGATACTTCCGACAACCCCGCCGTCTTTAAGCATAACCGATACGAGACGTGAACGGAATTAGGGATTTTCTGACGCAATGAGTCACTGAAAGAATTTTATGGGAATTCCCTTACTTCTAGCAAAAATATCTTAACGGGAAAAGTACCACCAGACAAAAGAGTTTAATATCTTTATAAATATGTAATTAATTCACATTCAAAAATGAAAGTGAACGGGCCCATTGCAAAATGTCCGTGAAAAGATTAGCATAATGAAGGAAAAAAATCGACTTTGGGACACACAGATGTTTAGAAAGGCCAATAAAAGATTCCTTTGTTTCCAAATAATCAAGTCTTTGTGAAGATTCATGAAAATATTTTATATATTTTCGAATGTTAATGAGACCAACTGATCGTCAGCACTGACCGTAAGTCGCATGTGAAACGGTACTAGGTTTCTCTGTTATATTTTTATAATGTTCAACTGATGTTACGAATCCTTTCAAGGCGGAAAATTATATGGTGTCCATATCCTGTTAAAAAATGTTATTTCATCTTAATCAGTTCACATTATCTTCTAAAATAGTCCAGAGCCTGTTGAATAAAAATTTAAAATATAAAAACAGCATCAGAAGAACAAATAAGAAGTCTATTACTAAACTATAAAACTGAGCTTCTACATGAAATAATAAGCACTAAACAAGAACTAAAAAACTTGATTGAAGCGTCAGAAGCGGGAGCAGCATTAAATACTGAAAATCAGAAGAAAATATTCAACAATCTGGAAGTAGAGAACCAACATCTAAATGAAAGAAATAATAAAAAAAAAGAAACAATATTATAATTTTCGGCCTGAACAAACCAAAATTTGGGGAGTGGGGAATCCTACCCATGCATCCCTTCTTTTAATTTAAAATTGGCTCTTGTCAAAATAAGGTAAATAGGCAATAAAGTTAACCTTAAGCTCATACAGTATTTCAACACAAATAAGAATGGAAAGGTTTTTCTTATTAAAAATTTCAAGTACAACATGCTCATATATCAAAATAAAGGCACCCCCTTAATACTGTTTAAACTTTAGACCAAGTATAGACGTTAGAGAGTTTTTAATGTCTTTTTTCGACAGAAAATGAATAACACAAAATTAAAAAAACAGATAAAGTATTATTGATACTAATTTGGAAAACACCTTATGAATAGCAGCATGACTTTCATCAGATATTGAACTTATTGTAAAAGAAAGGCAATTCTAAATTGTAGTATGTAGCATTATATGACCAATCACAAGACGTATCACCGATACATTTTTAACAAATCGTGACGATACATTTTTCAGAGAGAACTATTCGAGCCTGCAAACAAGCAACAACAAAATCAATCTCTGCGCAAATTGTCGAATTTTTAATATTAAAACAATATAGGAAAACATTTTAAACCAGTAAAAGTATCACTCAAATGTTGTGGTTATAAAATACAAAGTTTAAAAAGTTAAAATAAACCAGTGGGCAGAAGCAATCACTTTAATTTCTGCATTCCACGACAATTAATCTATTAACCTATCAACAAGAATTCTACAAGATTCGTCATAAATACAATCCACGACTCCACCTTGTATACCAGAAGGAACCTTTAAGCAGGCAGTGAAAATTTAAGAAAAACACTGCTGGCCTTCTACACATACTATTATTGTTGTTATATACAAGCCATCATATTGGCTTAATTGTTCGGATCGTAAATCAAAAAATAAAAAAATATTCAGCCCTCTACAAAAAAAGTTATCCATGCCTACATTAATGTTTATTCATGATTAAGTTTAATCAGGGGCAGAAAGTAATAACCCTATAAAAAGATAATGACCTAGGATGCTTATTTTACGAGACATACAATTAAACGCTTCACTTTGAGTTTATCCATGTATCTATGATAAGACCACTTCAAATCTAAAAAAAAAAAAATGGTAATACTTACTCTGTTTGAAAGCGTGGTAGACGTTGAGCAGCGTGAGGTGGTCCCCGTCGATGTGTGCGAAGCGCATCTTGGCATCGTCGGCGGCTTTCTTGGCCTCGTTTGGACGGACGAAACACTGCGGGACTAAATATTGGAGCGGGCAACCAAAAGGGCAATGCCCGTATCCAACCGATATAGTAGATGTGCGCCACTCGGGCCCCTTCCTACAGAGCTACCCCTTAGTCAGAAACGTTTTGTCGGCCAACAGAACGATATAAACACAACAGATCTATGTAATTTATATTTTGTTTTCAAAAACTTGTGCTGTTGGCCCATCAAACGCTCTCTGTATATTTTTAAGGTTTTTGTTTTGATATTAATTTTATTATTGTGGCTTTAGTACTAGTGGGAAATGGGTGAATGTGAATTTAATTAGATTATTCACGTTTAGTTTTGTACTCGTATGTGCCTCAGAAAGTACCATGGTTGATTTTAAAGATTCACCAATTTAAAATGAAATGAAATCATACAAAATGGTTGTGTTCAGTAATGCAAATATTTAGAGACAATTCAATACGCAAGATGATTTGAAATTTGTATTGCTAGGAATAGGAGACTTCAGCTAGCATCCATTTTCTAAGTAAATTGTCTCATAGACGAGACTTTCAATTTTTTATTAGTTTGAAACTAATAATTCAACCAATTTGAAATTCGGCAAAAATGTACAAAATCATTGTAAAAATATTTTGGGTAAGACTGCATTTTAATATGCTGGCTAATTTTAAAATATGAAGTGATAAAAATATGAAACTAGTTTTTTAAGAACTATTGATATGTTAGTCTGAATCTAATATTTAAAGAAATTTCGCTGAAAATTTCATTTTAATATCTTTATTGCTTTTCATAGTTCAGGATGAAATTATTTTTCGGAGCTATGAATTGTTTTCATTTAAATTTTTTTAAGATAAATGGGAGGCCAAATATAAAAGTGAACATTCCAATTCCTTATTAAAATTGTTTTTTTAACTGTTTTAAAGAATATTTTTTAATTACAACATAAACAATGACACTTCGATTTTCAAAATTATTTTATTTTTGATTCATTTTTGCACTTTATTAAAATTATTGACTAGATTGAAAACCCAGTGCTATGTTATATTACGTTCAATTATTATTTTATTTGATAAAAGTAGATTTTTCAAACAAATTTTTTTACATTGGAAATTATTGACATAAAAAATAGGAAAAAATCAAGAAAATTGTATATGTGAAACTTTTGATACACATTTATGACTATATAAAAATTACAGTATTTTTACACATCTAGGTGTATTTTACACCTATGTGTAAGTAAATTTGACATTTATTTAAAAATGAATTGTAACATAATTAACAAGATAATTAATTATTAACCCTTTGCAATCAAAATTAACTGCAACATTCAGACATTGAGTACAGGAGGAATTCTTTGAAATTGTACCTGATTTAGACAAGAATTGTGATTTTACTGTGAGAAAAAGAAAAAGGAATCTTTCACTAAAAAATGCAGATGACTATAAGAGTAGTTATGAGGGTGCCGAAAGGACAATGAAAATAATTTAAAGAAAATTGTTTTCACCAAAAATATATGTTTTACTATTTTAATTTTAGTTTTAAAAACTTAACTGACACTTAAATAACTTATTACCTACAGAATGGAAAATACATCAATAGCAAAAGGTTATGCTAACAAAGTGCAGTGGAATACGCCATGTTTGGCATCTCAATAAAAGATAAAACAAGAAACAATGAAGAATGATTATCCATTTTCTTGAATGTGATCAATTACTCTAAAGAATGAAAAAACACACAAAATCTGTATCACATATAGTTTAAAGCAATTTAGTCAAAGCAACTAGTTTAGACCATCCTGGCCATTATCAGGCCTACAATATAATTACATATATTGAAAAAAAAGAAGGATATTGAAATTGATTTACTTATATACTCAAAAAGGTGTAAAATTACTCAAAAAAATCCCTTGGTATGCTGATTTTGTGTTATTTTGCTGCACGTGGTGAATGAATAATTGAATGGGAAAGTAATAGGACCTTCAAATGGTAGCAGTATAAGCTGCAGGCTGCAGTAGCGCCAGAGGCTACAAATGGATTAGGGTGGGAGCAGCTAATTTTGTGTTATTTTGCTGCACATGGTGAATGAATGATTGAATGGGAAAGTAATAGGACCTTCAAATGGTAGTAGTATAAGCCACAGGCTGCAGTGGCGCCTTGCTACAAATCGATTAGGATGGGAGCAAGGGAATCTGAAGGGTAAAAAAATGGATTTGGTATTTTCATGAAGGAATTAGGTAGATCCAAGAAAACTAAACGAATTAAGACAAAGAGGAAAAAGGGTTGAAAGCAGTTGAAAATTACTTTAACTTCAGTATTATAGTCATGTGAACTATTCAGTTCAAATTGTTTATTTTTGTACATATAGTTCAAAATTTTAAGGATATGAAGATCTGCGAGAGGTCAGATTATAAATGTTTTAAATACATTTTGACATAACTCAATTGGTTTAATAAGTCTGTGCTGAAGGATTGCCTAATATAGTGAGATAATGGAGGAATCTAGATTTGTCTAAAACTTTGCTAAATATCAAAAAGTAATTAAAAGGACATAAGAGGAATTTTAAAAAAAATAGGTTTTTTTGATTTGATATATTTAACAAAATAGCTTCTTTTGATTTATTAAAATGATATGTCTATTTACGCTAATAAATTTTAAAATTACTCATTAATTTGTATCCTTTGTACAGACGCAATTATATTTGTAACTTTCACCCACCATAATGTCAAAATTTGTACTTATGTTCTTTTAAGCGATGACCACAGAATTATAGGATAACAGCCCCAAAAAAGATGGGTAGGCAACCATTAGCTAGAATAGTAAGAGACAGGAAAAACAATGGAAAGTGATCAGAGTAGATACATATTGATTGACAAAGAAATACTTATATTGCGGAAAATACAGCAAAAATATTGTAAAAGGAAGTATATTTCAATTCTCAAATGTAACCCATTTAAAAATAGAAACAAAGGAGAAAGAGAAAAACTCAAAGACTGTGCCACAGAAACGTCGAGCGACTTTTCCCTCCTGAAAAGAACGATTGCCGCACCATTATATAAAAAAAAAAAAATAGCAGACATAGAAAAACATTTTCAAGTCTTAGATTTTGCTTCCTTAGGAGAATGTCGGTCTTGATCTGATTTCATCCTTACTATAGCTCGTCAGCAAGAAATACAGTCTCAATTCCAATCTCTAAGAATCAGTAAAAAGGTTACAGTTCCTCGCTAGTTAAAGTTAATGACTGGGTGAGGATTAGAAGTAACAAAGTAACGCCATTTACATTTAGAAAGCAAAATCAAAGCTCCCTGTGGTACTTAGTTCAAAAAATACGGTGTAATAATAACCAGACTGGCAAATATGAAAGAAAGTATATTCAAATTCTCAAATGCGACCAATTTAAAAATAAAAACAAAGGAAAAAGAGAAAACTCAAAGACTGTCACAGAAACATTGACCGACCGTTTCCTCCTGAAAACAACTACTTCTTTGGCTAATACCGAACAGTCATTACATTATATCAAACAGAAAATAGCAGATATAGAAAAACATTTTCAACACTCTAACATTGATTTTATCTGGTTATTATTCCACCTTGTTCTTTGAACAACATACCACAGCTAGCTTTAATTTTGCTTCCTAAGTGTAGATGGTGCTACTTTGTTACTTCTGATCCTCAACCAACCACTGGTTTTGACTAGCAAGGAACTGTAACACTTTTACAGATTCCATTCAAGACTGGACTGAAGAAGTTGTAAAGGTCTTTGGCACTATTGTAGTTCCCAAAAAGTAGTAAATACCTGACAGCATTGCCGTAACGGACAGTATCTCATTGGAGCAATTGTGATTGCAGCTGGCGATCAGCATCTTGGCCAGTTGTGGATCCAAAGGAAACTCCGCCATGACGGCACCCAAATCGGTCAGGTTGCCGTCGTCGTCCAAGGCCGCTAAATAGTTGAGCAGTTCCAGGGCTCTCATGAGCGTTTCGGGCGCGGGCGGATCCATGAAATCGAAATGAACTAAATCGTCGATACCAAGCTTCTTTAGTTGGAGCACGACAGATCCCAAGTTGGACCTGGAAATGATACATTTTCAATACTTAACGTATTTAACATATTTTGTATTTACTACAATCAATTTTATTACTTTAAATACATACTTATTAATAATAGTTTTTATTGTCCAACAATTTATCAAATTGCTTTGGAGAACAAATAAATAACTTACTACAATAAAAAATGATAAAGATAATACCTACAATTATATATGACAAAATAAACATAAATTTAATGGAATTGTCCCTTTCTACTTGTAGTATAAATGGAGAAAAAACTTTTAAATATTGTATTTTAAAGCTTAGTTAAATTTGTCACAGGACTACAAAGGTTATTGTAATTCATAAATAATTAAAAAATTTGATTAAAAATTTTATCAAAAATTAAAAAATTTATCACAGAAAGGTATCAATATATTCAATGGTTTCCTAAAAGGAAAACAACCAGTGAGATTGAGGATCTAAAGCCATGTTGGTTGCTATTGATAACTTGAAAATTATTTAAAAATTACATTAATCTGTTTGGGAATGCATACTCAAATATTTTTGGAAAAGCTGTTTGATATTGTAAATGGTCTGTAATGTAATTGGTCCGGGTTGATTTCTTGCCCGAGAATCCATGTTGTGAGGGGGATATTAGGTTATGAATAGACATATAGATACGATTATAGAGAACCATAAAATGGATATGGGACGATAGTTGTTGATTATTGACTAATCATCATTACCAGATGTAAAAATCGGAACAATTCTAGTTTATTTTGTAAGGAATTGTTTAGAAATCTTCTAAATAATACTCAGAATAAATATTTTTATTAGATCAAGTTTAATACAATGACAATTCTCATCACACGTCCATCTAATCTATTTCCCTGGATACCGCTATAAGACATCGTATACAGGATGATCTATTACAACACGCCCCCTCCTTCAAAAATTCATCACTCCTGTGATGATATACTCTTAGGTTTGATGCATGGGCAACTTCTTCCTTTTGGTCATTTACGTAGTGGACATAAGTTAAAACTCCTTCCATGTACTTTGTACCTATGACTTTAAAGGGTCCCTTTACGACAAAATTTTTTCCTATTTTTTGACTTCTTACTAAAATAAAATCATTCACTTTCACGTTCGGGGGAAGGATTTTCTTATTTTTATTTGCTTGTTTCTGAATGTTTTTTTTTATATTTTAATTGTTCTTCTAAAGATCTAGGAAATTCTTTTAGGGGTCCATTTATATTAAATTTTTTATCAGCATTTAGGATTGTACTCTTTCCAAACAATTTGTAATTAGGTGAACATCCCAGGAATTCATTATGGGAATAATTGTGGTGTCGCACGGCGGCTTCAAGGCATTTTTTCCAACCACCCCTAAAATCCTTATAACAATGCATGTATGTTTTTATTTCTCTAACAGTTCGTTCCGCTAATCCGTTTCCAGCCGGATGGTAAGGAGAAGTATGGACTAGTTCCATCCCCTTCAATACAGCCCATTCTTTAAATGTTCCAGATGTTAGAGCAGGTGCACAGTCTGTGACGACTGTTTTCATATCATTTAGGAAAGAAAGTTTACTAAAATAGCTTTTCAAAGCATCACCACTTTCTTTTATTGCCTTGGCACTTACATGTCTAGTGGCTTCATCTATCAGAATAATAAATGATTTTGTAGTTCTGTTTAAATCTGATTTTTTTTCTATCTCCGCAAAGTCAATATGAACCTTTTCATAGGGATTCTGCGAACAGGATGTTAGATGTGTATAATTTGGTTTGGGATAATATTTAAATTTTACTTTTTGACATATTTCACAAGTTTTTATGTAGTATTTAATATCCTTACTTAATCCTTTCCAAACAAACCGCTTACTTATCTTATAGTATGTTTTGTAATATCCATCATGGTCTCCAGAATCAGGATCATCGTGGTAAGATTGTAAAATGTCTGTCTTTATATCTGCATTCTTTACAAAAAACCTTCCATCCTCTTGTTTTTCCAAATCGTGTATATTCAAATTACACCAAAATGTTTCCTTCACCTTTTCAGGAAAATCCACGCACAATCTGGAAATTGCATCACTGTCTTCTAGTTCTTTGCAGGGTTTGTGGTTCACTATCATATCGAAACTGCTTAAAAATATTTGCCATCGGGCTAACCTATCTCTTAAAGCACCTGTTGACAAAATATATTTTAATGCTCGATGATCAGTATGTACTACAAATTTTCTTGATTCCAACAAAGTTCTAAAATGTTTTACTGCTTTTACAACCGCAAGACATTCTTTTTCTGTAACAGAATAATTTTGTTCATGTTTATTAAAGGTGTAGGAATAGTAGGAAATTACTCTAAATTGTTTATTTTTTATCTGTTCCTCATCTCTTTGGTATAGAATAGCCCCACAACCAAAATAAGAACTATCAGTACTAAGCTCAAATTTTAACCTAGGATCTGGTATTCTTAGAATTGGTTCTGATGTTATCAATTCTATCAATGTTATAAAAGATTTTTCACATTCATCAGTCCAAATAAATTTCGTATTTTTACATTTTAATCTGTCAAGTGGTCGTACAATTTTCGCATAGTCTTTTATAAAATGCCTAAAATGGTTTGTTAATCCAATAAAACACTGCAAAGATTTTAAATCATAGGGTTTTTTCATATTTTTTACCTTTTCAATAGATTCATTTTTCATCTTCTTGATATCACCATCAATTTCCCTACCAAGAAACACAATTTTGGGAACACAAAATTTACATTTCGTTAGATTTATTTTAAAGTTGTATCTATTAAGTTTTTCCATAACTTCTGTCGAAAGCTTAGCACACTCGTCATAAGTGAAACCTCCACACATTATGTCATCGATGAAGACTACTACATTCTTATCGAGTAGTTCACCTAAAGCTTCCTGCATTATTCTTTGAAAATGTGCACTTGAGTTTTTCCATCCAAAAGGAAGCCTTGTGAATTCATAATGCCCATCTTCTGTTACAAACGCCGTATACTTCTGCGTTAATTTAGATATACTTATATTCCAAAAACCATCCTTCAGATCAAATTTTGAGAAAAATTTACATCCACCGAATTTTTGAATGATTTCATCACCGATTGGAAATGGGAATGGATCTAATTCAGTTTCCTCATTAATTTTCCTATAATCAATACACAGGCGAAAATCCCCATTAGATTTTGTGTTCAAAACACATGGAGAAGCAAAAGGAGATATTGACTTTGTAATTATTTTGTTTTTAAGCAACTCATTAACCTTATTTTTTATCCATGTTCTTTTGTTTTCTGAATATCGATAAGGTTTCAGCTTAATAATTTTTGCATTTTCTTTTAAATTAAAATCTATCTCAAAGATTGATGGTTTCGCATCATTATATTTTAGCAAATTCGGAAATCTTTTGGATATATTATCTTCTGTAAATTCAATTTCTTTTTCTAAGTTCAAATTCAGTTTATATATTTTCAATTTATTTAGTAAATGGCGTCCTAGAAGTATGTCAAAATTCAAATCTTTCACTACTGCGGCCATAAAAGTTGTGGGCAGTTTATTGATTTCAATAGTTACTTCAGCACTAAAAAAACATTTGGTTATTCCAGCTAAGCTCCTTATGCAAATATTTACTTCATGAATAGGAAATTTGTTTTTATTAACTAATTCCTCATCTATCAGATTAATATCTGATCCAGTATCAAACAGTACTTTCACTTTTTGGCCATTTAAAAATAAATACTCAAAATTATCTCCACTTGTTAGTGAATAACTAGAATACATCTCAATATTATTTATTTGATCTTCAAATTCAACAGTACTAGAATTAAACACATTTTTAGTTTCACATTTAATGTCTTTTTTATTGGTACTTATTGGCTGACCTTGCATTTGAAAATCTCTTCTTGGCCACTGTTTATCAGGATATTCACCAATCATTAAGGATTTTAGCAGCTGAAGAAGTTCTTCTTTGGAGTTGATGATTTTTTCTCTTAACTGTTTCTGAACATTAACTGGCAGACCCAGAATTATCATTGCCACTAATGAAAGTTCAGAAATGTTATTATCTGCCCATTTAATTAATTTCTGTTTTTCGTAAAAGTATTCCAGGATATTACTATTATAATATTTATAATTCAAAGCTTTCTCCCATTTTAAAACAACATTTTCATCAAATATCTTGATAAAACTAAGTTTCCAATTTTCCCATGTATATTGATTTAGTATACTATCTTGGATTTTATCTTCGTACCATTTTAATGCAATGCCTTTTAACTGATTTCTCAAATTAAAAATTTTCTCATTATCAGTAATCCATTTATTATATGAACAGATATATTCATACGAACTGAGCCAAGAAGAAGGATTCTCACCTTGACCGTCGTATTGAGAAATTTTTATGGGATCTGCTTTAGTTGAAGTGGCAAACGTCATCCATTTTGTCATTAGCTGATCCAACTCATTTTTTCCAAAAATAATGTTGTCTTGGGTACCTTCATCTCCTTTTTCATAGTTGATCTGGATAATTGGTTCGTTTTGCTCTAACTGCGCCATATTGTAAGGAATTGTTTAGAAATCTTCTAAATAATACTCAGAATAAATATTTTTATTAGATCAAGTTTAATACAATGACAATTCTCATCACACGTCCATCTAATCTATTTCCCTGGATACCGCTATAAGACATCGTATACAGGATGATCTATTACATATTTCCTTTGGTCTGGAAATGTTAATGGCTCTAAAACTAAAGATCAATTTTAATGTATGAGCTAATACCGTCCGTCCTTTATCATAACAAAGAATGATGGGATTTCATCAGATTTTCATTTAATTTTCTGCTAACCTCTATGATTTCCCATTCAAATATTTTAATTTTATTTGCCTTGTGGTTCTGAAGACACTACAAAAACTAACAAAAAAATGTCAAAACTATATCTGGAAGTTTGGAAAATGTTTCTAATGACATGGTGCTAGGAATCCATGAACTTTTATTTTTAACATTAACATATATAACTTTGTGTTTTATTAATGAAGGTTCCTGTAAATATTTTTTCTTACCTTAAAATTTCAGGATAAGTGTTATCCTGCATTTCGTTTTTGAACGCCTTTTCCGTATACAACCTGAAACATTTTCCAGGTTTCGTTCTTCCGGCACGACCGGCCCTCTGTTGTGCAGAAGCTTTACTAATGGGAGACACCAATAAAGATTCGACTCTTATTCTCGGATTGTACACCTGAACATACAAATTATCAAATAAAAAAAAATACATATATAAAACAACAATCCATACTCAATAAGAATTACCCAATAACAGTCTAATACATAACAACTGACATATATGTAACATTGTCATTTGAAGTTTAAACAAAAATATGGAATGTCATGGAAGAAAAACTATTCCAGAAACATTCAAAGGAATATAAACACCATATAATAAAAATAGCATATTACCATAATCATACAAATTTAGAGTAAAATAGAAATTATTTTAACAATGACATACGGTGTCGGCCACAGAACGACTTCCAATATGTTATAAAAGAAGAATGAGTTGTCAACGTAGCCATTTATAAGAACCGGACCACATTGAAACATTGGCCAGGCCGTGTAGGCTGGAATCGCTGGTATTATTCCTTTCCAGCTTGCCCTAGTGCAGGCTCTCTGTAGTTTTCACATGCACTTATGCCAAGGAATATTGGAAGATGTTCGATGGCCAATACTGTATACAAAGAAGTTGACTCCATGCTGGAATAACATTTATATATTCAAAAAGACAACTAACCAGAGAATAATAGAACAAATTTATCAAATGTTTAAAATCTGCAGCAAATGTTTAAAATCTGCAGCAAATGTTTAAAATCTGCAGCAAATTTTACATGGACTTTACATGGCCTTTTCACACCAATACAAAGAAATACCAGAAGGTTGTAGATTTTGAGGATTCATACATTAAAATGACGGAAAGTAAATGAAAGGAATTGGAATTAAATTATTTACTAGTAGTGATATTTTTAATTGGTGAAAAGGACTGAACCATAAGAATTTAAAAAACCAAAGTCATAATTTGACATGTGACACATAATAGAGGTGACCAATACTGTAGAATAACATATAGTTGACATACAAATACAATGACTTACAAAATTATTAAACTGTCACTTCATTCAATGTCATAATCTTTAAATAAAAAATTGTTTAGAATAAATATTATAAATAAAGGGGCATTTTGACAGCCTACTATCAAATAGATTATCACACTACTTTAAGACATTTGACAGATGTCTTTGACATGTGTGAGAATCATACTGTCATTTGACATTCCAGTAAGTAATGATTTAGAAAATCAAATGAGATAAATAAATCAAACAAAAATACTTTTTTGTAATTCTACCTTCTGTTTGGCGAATCCGGGGTCAATGACGAAAACTACTCCATCAATAGTAAGAGAGGTTTCTGCAATATTTGTAGAGACTACTACTTTTCTACCGATAGCGCCGTTTGGTTTGTTAGGTGGGGGATCTTCGAAAATTCTTTGTTGGAGATTCGGAGGCAGGGTGGAATATAATGGAATACATTTGAGTTCCCCAACTTCAGGGCCTAAATTGTCTATCTCCCTCTTTATTCGTTTACAGGCGACCTCAATTTCTTCTTGACCAGTGAGGAAAAGTAAAACGTCTCCTAATAAATAACAGATATATTTGTAAAAAAAAAAACAAAAATAATTTGAATAAAAAATTATTACCTGCTATTTCTTCACACATGTGTATCTGAATCACGGTTCTTATTGCAGCTTCCAGATAATCTCTTTCAGGTTCAGGAGTGTAAAATATTTCTACAGGGTGAGTTCTACCAGGTACGTTCATAAGGGGTGCATTGTCAAAATATTGTTGGAACTTCCCAGCATCTAAAGTGGCACTCATGATTACCAACTTTAAGTCCTAAATGACAGAAATGTATTAGAAGATTTATCAAATAATTTTACTATATCAGGGTTGGCAGGTACATGTTCTTTGTACTTAAGTTTTTAAGCTAAATATTTAGAATGCACAATTTTACTAAGGTTCAAAAATCAGTGTATATAAAAACAAATTCAAATATTTTATCGAAGCTCACCACTGATGTACTTCTTCAATTGATATTAGTAATAGTGACACTTTCTTCTTTTACATATCAAAAAATAAGGATACAAATATACTGAGTGTGAACAGCTTGTGCCGGTGGAAAATGATATAAAATTCAATTTTAATATTTGTTGATACATATGAACTAAAAACCCTAAAAAATCTACTTATATTTTTTTAATTTTAATATTCTTTTCAACCCTGGGCTATACATGATGGTGGTGTTTTATGTGGGTTATTAGAACCTCTATCTGTCTACAATGTGACTACCACTTTCGAGGTATATTAGATTTTATATTAAGTTGAACAATCATGAACATGTATTTGTATTGGGCAGTCAAATAAGACTTAAAAGTAAAAGAAATAGTTCACTAAATTCTATAAAAGTAAATCTATTTCTATTCAGAAAGTAAAATAAGTAAAACTACATCTGTATTTATAAAAACATAAGTACAATGGACACCACACGCATGTGCAGGCTTAAGGCTGTATGTCACGATACTGAATTAAGTACTAAATTTAGAACTAAATTAATGCATTTTTTAAGTACTAAAAAAATTCACGTTGCAAACAGCAAATTTAGTACTAAAAAAAGTCATTAATTAATTAGATCTTGTTCTATTTTCTACTAAATTTAGTACTAAAAGTGCGCCGAAATGTTGCGCAGAAGTTTTTCATAGAAAAAGTTGACACGACGGTATTTTCTGTACCCTTTTATTTTTAATTAGCGACAATTTCACATTATCGCCTTGAATAAAGTTCGCCTGTTTGATTTTGTAGGTTTTATTGTGTTTTTCCGTGGTTTTTATGCTGTATTTGGTTGTCAAGTCAACTAGTATCAAATTGATAATAAAAACACCATTTACTTCACTTGTCTGTTTTACACAGAATATTTCATTTCTCTGCTAATTTCACGTATTAATACGTCAATGCGCGTGCGCCCATAGTAAATTTAGTACTAAAAATTGGTAACGTTGCAAACGGAAAAAAAATATTTTTAGTTCTAAATTTAGTACTAAATTAATGACTTAATTTAGTGCTAAATTTAGTACTTAATTTAGTATCGTGACATACAGCCTTTAGAGAATTTAGTAGCGAAAATGTTAATGTATAAGTAGGTATTTTCCTGCAGCTCACAGTTTAATATCATTTCAGTGTTGTAAGTTGTAACAAGGATAATTACAGGAATTCACTTTATAATCAATTAATAAGCTCAACTGTTTGAATGAAAAAAGTTTGTCAAATTCTAACTAAGTGAATATATGGTGATAAAAAAGTTATATATACTTTTCTCTGTTTGATAACTTCTTTGAGTACTCCCATCAAAATATCTGTAGCCAAAGTCCTTTCATGAGCCTCGTCAAGTAAAATACACTGGTAAGCTTCCAACATAGGATCACTCATGCCTTCTCTCAATAACATACCGTCTGTCATATATCTAAAACAAATTTTACATTAAATTCGCCATGGTCTCATGAAGAAAACTGCTAAAATATTATTTTTGTTATTCTACATACTTTAATATAGTTTTAGCTGATGAACAATCTTCGAAACGAATACTGTAACCAACTTCCTGTCCCAAAGCAACGTCCATTTCTTCAGACACTCTCTGTGCTACTGACATAGCAGCCACCCTTCTTGGTTGGGTGCAACATACACCTTTTGTTCCAACAGTCCTCGAGTATTCTACACACCATTGTGGAATTTGGGTGGTTTTACCAGACCCTGTCTCACCTACCAGTACTATACACTGGTGTTCATCCAGCAACCTCATGAAATCTGCTCTGTATTCAAAAACTGGAAGTCCTATCCTTTTCCGAAATAGTTCGTGATACTTTTGTGTGTAAGGTAATCCGGTGTAAGGATTCATCGAACCGGCTGGCATTGTAGTAACGGCAGTGCTTATGCCTCGTTCTTCCCTAAAATTTCAAAATAAATGGATGACCTTTTTACATACTTACTTTGAAATACCTTTTCTTCTTTATAAAGGGATCCATTACTTCTATACGTCGTTTCGACATGTCGGCAATTGTGGATTAAACAATTTAAATCCGAGAAAATACCGAAATAATCGATTAAAATCCGCCAAAAAAGGTTTTGCTGCAGATACCGCACCACAAAAAACCCAAGAAGAGTGCTCAAAATGTCGGAGTAAACAACTTTTGCCAACTTCCTTGAAACAATGTCCGCAATCGTTCGGTTGTTATCACGCTATTACCTTATAAAAATCTGTCTACTTTAAAAAACTACAAATACAAAAAAATACGTGTTGCTAATAATAACTTTGATTATTAATTAGCTCCTATTAAACAAAAAATACTAGAAAAAAAATATTTAATTTTTTTTACGAAGATAAAAAATTGTACTAATATACCTATCTCTTTAATTTTTTTTATATTTTGAATCAATATTATCAACAAAACGTCTTTATTGGCAATCCTGCAAACTGACAGCAAAATGACAGTTAATTTTGACTTTTGACATTGACATTTCCTTTTATTCTCAAAAAATTGAAAATGGCAAGTTTGGGGAATTGCGAAACCTCTGGTTGTTCAAATTCAGCGAAATTGCAATGTCCTACTTGTATAAAACTAGGAATTCCAGGGTCCTTCTTTTGTTCACAGGATTGTTTTAAGAGTAATTGGAAAACTCACAAAATAATTCACTCATTAGCTAGTAAGTAAGGTTAGGTAGGTACTAACCATCATGCTTACTGTGAAATTTGAAAATGTCAAGATATTTTTATTCGTTTATTCATTATATAAGTAGGGTTTTATTTTTAAACGAAATTCCAACCTTTTACATACGTTTTAATTATTTTTTTAGAGCCTAACAATAGTTTGAGATAAATATACCTATTTAAAAAAATATTGATAAAATTCAATAATTCTAGCTAATGAATATTTGTAGAAGGTGAAAATATAGATGGTAAGAAAGAAGACTCATACAATCCATGGCCCAATTATTCATTCACAGGAAAGTTAAAGCCATTTCCACAGACTCCAAAGAGAACTGTACCTCCTCATATCCAAAGACCTGACTATGCTGATCATCCACAAGGCTTTCCTTTGAGTGAGCAGGCTGTTAAAGGGTCTGGACTCATAAAAATTTTAGATGATGAAGAAATTGAAGGTAAGCAATAAATTCACTTTGTTTTCATTATGTTATTACATTTTATTTGATAGGAATGAGGGTAGCAGGAAAATTAGGCCGGGAAGTTATTGATGAAGCCGCAAGGGTATGCGATGTAGGTGTTACCACAGATGAAATTGACAGAATAGTCCATGAAGCATGTATTGAAAGAGAATGCTACCCATCACCTTTGAATTACTATGAATTTCCTGCTTCTTGTTGTACTTCTGTCAATGAAGTTATTTGCCATGGGATACCTGATACTAGGCCTCTTGTAGATGGTGATTTATGTAATGTAGATATAACTGTCTACCATAGAGGGTTCCATGGAGATCTTAATGAGACTTTTTTTGTCGGAAATGTCAGTGAAAAGCATAAAAATTTGGTCAAGGTATGTATATAAAATAGATTTTTATTTTGTCATTAAGTATGTTACATTATAATTTATTGTTTTATAGGAAAAAAAAAGAGATATCCCCTAAAGCAGCATATAATGATGTAAATTCATTAGATAAAACCTTTAATTTACTAATTAATTCATCTACTGATAAGGCTCTCCTGTTTTTTTGTTATCTGCATATAAAATTGTTTACAGAGTTAATATGATTAGGCTATCATTTATGTAGCATAGAAAAATTAGAATTCCTAAATTTGATCTTGAGGTACACCTAGATCAAACCGGGGGAGCTGGCCGTGAGATTGGTGTGCATCTACATGCTAGCAACAGCCAAACAGTGATTCCTCTGGTCATGTTGTGGATGTGTAGCAGCTGGATGGTTGACCAACTTAGTTGACTATCGGTTAACCATCATTGACATGAATGACAATGAATGTATGTATGTATGATGAATAGGAAGGAGTAGGACATCCAAATAGTTAGACAATAAGCCGCCTGTGCTTCAGTGCCACTATGAGAATCCCAAGAGGAAGGAAAGCAAGCTGGACCCCAAACCTGATTGAGAGAGTCTGCTGGAACCCCTCAGGGGGAACAGAGGGATGGGTGAAAAAAAAAACAGCTATATCAACACTTTCTAATTTACAATTACTGACTTTGGCATAGATCTGTCTCCTTTTATATAAGATTGCAACCAAGACAAAAGTTACCTCTAAAATCAAATCCTTCCAATTTTTCAGTAGCAACATCTAAGTTGATTGATTCAAATGGTTTTGATAAATCAAAGAAAAGTGCACCCACAAACAACTTTTGAAGAGATCTATTGTTGCATTTTCAGTAGATTTTTCTGGAAGGAATCCATTTTGATATTTGTATTTTTTAAAAAATTATTAACATCTTATTGTGCAGAGTCTGAGATCGTTTTTCTATATTTAAAAAAGGGGTAGAATGGATTTAGCTCACAGTGATACTATAAGGTGTTCCAAGTCTCCATGGCTAAAATTGATCTGGTGAATTTACTGCAATAAATGTCAATTCATTTTTCACCTCTCAAAAGTGCAATTAGACAAATCACAGTTTATTTTTCGCTTTTAAAAGTGAAATAAAGATTCTTTTGACTGTCAGTTATGCATGTTGAAGGCAATACATGAATACTAAAAGGTTCATTGGGAGATAGGTAGATATTTATTGAAGTAGGATAAACCTAACATACAAAAAAATATTATAGAAATACAAATACAGTACACTTAAAGCTTAAAGATAATTATTATTAACATTAACATAATCTGAGTTAAGAAAAATAAATTTGTTACACATTATAAAGATACTTTTAATCTTGAGTTTAGACAGCCTTAATTAACAATAAAACAAATAACACTTGAAAGCATGTACCCAAATATTAAAAAAGAAGAATAAAAAAGTAATAATCATTTATATAAAAGTTAAAATCAAATGTTATTAGTTTTAATAAAATTTGTATTTTTTTTTTTCAAACTTCCTAATGGATTACAATCCTTCAAGCCCCTGGGCAGTTTATTATATTCTTGGAAACCTTTATACAATAATGATGCCTATGATTTCGAATAATTAACTTTTTTAATGTATATATCATTAGTTGATCTTGTGCTGTAATCATGAATAGCCCCATGATAACAAATAAATTGATGAAAGTAGGATGGAGCCAAAGAATGAATTATTTTATAAATAAACATAATGGGCCCGTTCACTTTCATTTTTGAATGTGAATTAATTATATATTTATAAAGATATTAAACTCTTTTGTCTGGTGGTACTTTTCCCATTAAGATATTTTTGCTAGAAGTAAGGGAATTCCCATAAAATTCTTTCAGTGACTCATTGCATCAGAAAACCCCTAATTCCCTTCAGGTCTCGTATCGGTTATTAGTTAAAAGGGCGCGGTTGTCGGATGTATCATTGCACCACCATTCCTCTTCTGCATTTATTAAAGAAATTTACATTATAAAAATATATTATTTTTTTAAAATAATGTGTTTATGTTTTCAGATAAAGCTGGAAGCCTTACCTTTTTTAAATTTTAATAAAAACAATTAGTATTACTCAAGCTGAATATTACCAGATCGAAATTTTATTTGAGAAAATGTATCTGGTAAACGTGACAACGTTGTAAGTACTTCTAAATAGTGTTGTCTACACACACTTCTAGAAATAAATGCAACGTTGCCACGTTTACCAGATAAATATTGCAAAACAAATTTCTACTTTTTGATTATGGTCTGGTTAGTTTTCAGCCTGAGTAATAATAATTGTTTTAATTAAAAAGTAAAAAATAAGCTCCCAGCTTTAAATCTGAAAATATAACATCACGATTTTTAGAAAAATAATGGAATTTTACTATTTAAATTACATATATAAATGCAGAAATGGTATATTAGGGATACTTTCGACAACCCCGCCGTCTTTAAGCATAACCGATATGAGACGTGAACGGAATTAGGGATTTTCTGACGCAATGAGTCACTGAAAGAATTTTAAGGGAATTCCCTTACTTCTAGCAAAAATATCTTAACGGGAAAAGTACGACCAGACAAAAGAGTTGAATATCTTTATAAATATATAATTAATTCACATTCAAAAATGAAAGTGAACGGGCCCATTGTCAAGTAGTACAACCTTTGCTGAACCGAAAACCATTGAAGAGAATTTAACATTGTGGCAATTGGTGTAAGACGATTAGTTTTTAATATTATGTGCATGCCTCTATTTTGTAGTTTTTGAAGTTGATTTAACTTGTTGAGATTAAATAAATGAAGAACGGAGGCACAATAATCGAAGTGAGGCTGAATAATTTTATTATATACTGTTATTTTAGTTGAAGTTGACAAGTTATTTGAAATTCTAAAGAAGAAATATAATTTTTTCAATTTTTTTTTATTAATATAATTAAAGAAATCATTGAAAGTAAGTAGATTATCTAATTGGATACCTAAATACTTAATAGTTCGGACTATTGCGACTTTCTCAACATTTATTTGTAAATTAACATCATTGATATCAAGTAAGCTATATTTATGTTTATTTGAAAAAATAAGTGCTTTTGTTTTAGTTACATTCAATTTCAATTTGTTAACTTTCTCCAGTATTTTATTTTTCTCGATTGCACTCATTCAAATATACTATAAAAAAGCAGCGGCCATAGGACACTTCCTTGCGGAACCCCTGTGTCAATGTTAATCTCGGGTGATATCTGATTTTTAAAATGTACTTTTTGTCTACGACCTTGCAGATAATCATACAGCCACTGGTATACTTTTCCACCTACACCATATCCTTGAATTTTCTTAAGTAAAATACCCCTATCAATGGTCTCAAATACACGTTTCAGGTCTAAAAAAACAGCTACTACATATTTAGTCTCATCCACATCATTTTTAAATTTACTCACCATTAACTGTAATGCAGACTCACAGGAATACTTTTTTCTGAACCCAGACTGGTTAGTTATTAAAATAGAATTATTATTAACATGTTCAAGTAGTTGTTCATATACAACCAGCTCTAATACCTTTTTAATTGACGGGAGAGTATTTACAGGCCTAAATTCTTCGGATTTTATTGTATTATTAAATTTTTGAATTGGAACAATAGTACTAATTTTTAGTTGAGATGGAACTTTGAAAAGTTGAATGCAGTAAATCGATCGCAACTAGCAATGTTACTTCTACACTTCTAGTTAACGAAACTGGCTGTGACATTTTGACACGCAGATTGATGAAGAATGGACAACCACATTTTATGGATAAAATGTAATTTCAAATGTCAATTTCAAAACATCAAGGGTCAAAAAAAAAACGACTCACATTACTAAAAATTCAACGATTTTGTTAAAAGGTCTTTTTACAATCATTTCTCAGTAACTCAACACTGCCAACCAATCGTGATGTGACAGAATTAACTGCTTTAATCAAAAGCGGGTGAATAGGTCTATCACAGACTGTACAGCTCTCTTTTCAATAAACTGAAGTGTGTCGGCCATTATCACAGACATTCTTTGCTCAATGCAGACAGTAACTAATAGTGTCCTGATTTACATGCTTATTAGCAAATGCATATAAATAAATTTGGATTTTGTCCTATAAATGAGGCATGCATAAATATACTGCCCCCTCTGATATTTGATTAAGTTGGATACCTGCTAATTTGGAATTTTTCTATAATTATAAAATAAAGACCTTTTGTTATTATAACATACTTCTTTTATATTTTTTAAGGTTACCCACGAGTGTTTAATGAAAGCTATAGAAATTGTCAAACCAGGAGAAAAATATAGGGAAATTGGCAACATCATTCAAAAACATGCACAATCTCACGGTTATTCTGTTGTAAGAAGTTACTGCGGCCATGGAATTCATAGGTTATTCCACACAGCTCCAAACGTGCCCCATTACGCAAGTAAGAATTACAGAGAAGTATAAAAAAACGACGATATTAAAACGTTATTTATTCTAGAAAACCGAGCCGTCGGAGTCATAAAACCAGGACATTGCTTCACAATCGAACCCATGATATCGGAAGGCACTTGGAGAGACGAAATGTGGCCAGATAAATGGACAGCTGTCACAGCCGATGGACAATGGTCGGCGCAATTTGAGCACACACTTCTAGTTAACGAAACTGGCTGTGACATTTTGACACGCAGATTGGTGAAGAATGGACAACCACATTTCATGGATAAAATGTAATTTTTCAAGATTGACAACGATTTTTTTATGTCTTCTGAATACATTATTTTTTGTTTAATTCGACAGGAGTAAGGTTTATATTTTTTTTCGGAGAGTTTTTATGCTATGAAATTGTATATTTTAAGCTACTCTTTTCAATTTACTCAGTTTATTAACACAAATGAGATCGTATATGTATAACGGATAGAAGAAAAGCATTTCTAATAAAATTATTAAACATTCAAAAGGTATTTTTTTTGTTGGCTTGATAGTAGTGATATGTATTTGAACTATTTTAGTGTGAGACATACATTGAAAAAGAAGTTATAATAGAGCCATCCCAAGTTTACCAGTTTTGGAGTAAACGATTATAGGCATACATTATTTTACTACTGACACTTCCTGTTGTTAAAAATACTTAACAAGACGTGCCAGTTTTTGCAGTCCGATGAAATATGACCAACAGGAACGGTCGAAAGTTTTTTTATACCGAATAAAAACGAAAATTCCACTATAAATAAAATTGCATAAAAATAGAAACAATACATGTAGTTTCGAACTATGTAACAACTGATGGAATTTTCTATTAGAATAAACAAACTACTACTGGTTCTTGCAAAGTATTTGTCAACATTTACTTACCAAAAAACCTATATATCCTTCAACCAAAGGAAATAAACGATAAAATATTAATATGCACTTAACGAAACTACAGTACTTTTATCGATTTTCTAATCAAATGAGGTTTATAATCCTCCCTTAGCTACAAACTTGTTTGATACCCTTTGATGAGTACAACATTCTTGTCATTACTATTTTTTTTTAAAGTGACCTTAATTTTTCACTGATTCTCACCAAAACCAGATCAATCGAAATATTGTGAGAGTTACTAGAGTTGGAAACTGATAATATAAAGTAATCGAAAATAAATAACGTAACATCTTTTCCATAAAACTTTCGTTCTTGATTTTTCTCGGGTTAATTGTATTAATCTGCTTAACGTTAATGGTATATCAAGTGGTTTAGAGCTTGTACCTATTCTACCAAATTTTGTTGAGAATGGGAGGTTACTGGAGAAATAAAAACAACGTATTTGCTTATTTTTCTAAATAAAAAAAAAAGATTATATTACATAACAATCTTAAGACATAAAACCAAAATAATTTTCAAATGTTATGTATCCACTAGTTTCAGTGACATTATTTAAACTAATAGATACTGAATCAATACTAGTCATAACCATTAGTTAAATAAAATCTATAAATGTGTCGAAGTTAAAATTAGTTTCGCTATTGCTTCCATAATTAATATTGAATCTAGTCATCATAATTTTAAAACTTCACTGATTATCCAAGCTGAAATTATTGGCTTTAATAAAACTTAATTACATTCGTTATTTAGTAGATCTAGTTGCTATTAAACTAATTTTAGGACCAGTACCAAAACGAAGTTCCAGTATAGATTCGAAATTAGTTTTGATCCAAAATTAAAACTACTTTATGATTGGCTTTATTAAAGCTGCAAGTTTCTAACTTCAGTACCAGTAACAAAACTAATTTTAGAAGCAACACCAAAATTAGTTATGCTTGTTAATCCCTGAAATTTGTTTAGATTACTAATGCATAACTAGTTTCACTGTAAATACCAAGATTAGCTTCTTTTTATATTATTGATGCTTTAATTAGTTTAAGTTTAGTTTCAGTACTATATTTGTTTATGTAAATTTTAGAAGCTGAAACTAATTTCTTTCTGGATATAATTGGTTCCTAGTGGTCATAGTACGATTTGATTTCTTCAAGCACCTAAACTATCTGTCCGAATTGGTGGACAATAAGCACCAAAATAGGTTCACAAATGGTTTTCAGTTCGTGCCTGTCTTTGAGCCGCATTCTGATCGAGCGGAATCGTTTCTGGTCTTAGTGCTCGCCCGATCTGAACTCGGCGATCTGTCTGTAGAACTGTCACTGGATCTCGATCTGGAACTGGACTTCTTGAATCTGCTTCTGGAATACCGCTCCGGCGATTTGGGAACCGATTGGATCGTCTTGGTTCTGGACGTGCTTCTGCATTTGCGTCTTTGCTTTTTCATGCTCTTCGCTATCACCCGCTTTTGGTGGTCCAATTGCGGGAATAAGTCTAAAATGAAGAATAAGACCGTTGATGTTAAGGTAAAGTGTTAAAGATCAAAAATATTTTTTCTAAAGGTGGGCAAAATACTCTTTTATTAAAAATTCTAGTGAATCCTTTGCAATAGACAAATTCTATGTCTTTTTTCCATCAATTTGTTGAAAACGCCGTTTAATCGATGCGACCTTGAACGCTTTGTGTTGAATTCGTTTTATTTATGTTTGATCGTTGTAAGAAATAACAGTTGACAATTTGGATTTATATTTTTATTTGAAAGTATCTATGGACCTTAATTGGAAAATATATTTTTCTAAAAGACTATTTTTTCGGTTTTTCCCGCAATAGAACAACTAAAATTACTTAATTCCTCAATTCCCACAATCCAGCTGTCATCCATCACGTCTAATAGGAAAAAGCATAAATTGAAATTGTTGGATTGGTGTTGCATCGATTGTAGCAATGTTGAATAAAAAGACAACTTGATAGATTAATAAAAAAAGACAGGAAGCTACCGCATCGATTCCAACGTTGCTGCAACAGTTAAATAAAAGGACACACATATATCGTCAATGTATAAACATCTCTAAGGAAAGATACATCGATATAAATTTAATAAGGCATAAAAGACCTTTATTTTTCTTGCCAAGAATGCATTTTAATAATTGTTGTTAGATCTGTTTTTAATAAATATTATTGTACCCTTTTTTATCCTCTACGAAACCTTTTTCAATAAAATATTCTTAATAAATTGTTTACCATGAGATATTTCCAAGGCCTTTTTGGCGGCGTTCATTTCGGCTTGCTGGATACTGTGGCCCATTGCACTAGCCAGTCTCCTACCTCTAAAATACACAGCTACTGTATACACTCTCGTATTAGTTGGTCCTTTACATTCAATGACCCTGTAACAAAAAAAAAATCATGATGTAATGATAAAAATCCATTTCAATAACAACCAACAACCTTTATAAGGCGCGAAAATAAATAGAAATGTGATAAATTAATATTTTTGTCATTATTTTACTAAATCAAACATTCAACTTCGGTTTGGATTATTTTTAGTTTTGAAATAAGCAAAAACTTTTATGAAGAATACAATTTTTTCGAAAAAGTGAAAATAAAAATGTTTTTTATCCTTTTTTAAAAGTCCATTCTACAAACTACGAATACAAATTTGTTAACAATTCTGTTCAGTCGGGTGTCAAAATAAATGAAACTTCCATTTATTTTTAAATCCTATGGAAATTTTATGAATTCACTGTGCATAATATAAAATTCTGCAAAACCAACAACTTGTTTGTATAAAACTTACTTATAAACCGGAATATCGGGTTCGCCGCCGTCCATAGTACGCAAAGTAAGGCAGCACTGCTGCAATTTCGATTTGGGATCGTTCCAATCCTGATTCATAATGAAATCCTGCAACCTCGGAAACAGCGTCACTTGACAAAACACTTCGCAAAACTCCATTCCCTAAAAATCGAACGGCAAATAACATTATAAAAGTCTCAAATTGGTAAGAAAAGTCCAATTAGCCAGACTCTTATATAAAATATTAATTATAATCATAGAAACAACACCATTGTAAAATGTCAACACCCAGCCAATTAACATTATAAACGTCATTTCAATACAATTTAGAAGTTAAATTTACCTGATCGACGTACAGAGCTCCGATGAAAGCTTCAAGCAAATCCGCTCTATCTTTAGTTTTCAATTCCGCTTTTGGGTTATTGTAAATGGCGAATTTGGCCATATCTAAATCATCGCAGACTACAGCTTGGGTTCTGTTGTTCACCAAAGAACTCCTCAATAACTACAAATAGTATAAATGTCAAAGTATGTTGTCAATTAGTTAAAATCCGTCATAATTATCAAATTTTTCGACTTACAGATAAATGACCTTCATGATGCTCGGGGAAATACTTATACAAATAATCCGACGCAATCAATTGCAACACCGTATCGCCCAAAAACTCCAATCTCTGATTGGAGCCCATCGTCAAATTCGTGTACCCCACGCTCCTGTCCGTAAAAGCTCTCGCCAAAAGCCGAATATGCTTGAATTCCACGTTAATAGATTCCTCGAATTTTACCAAGTTCTGGAGAATGTCGAACTTTTCGATCCATTGTCGATCGCCTAGCGGTTCCTGCTCCTGAAGGGGATGCGGCGGCAAACTCACCCACACTTCGTGCAGCTCGGGATTTGTGTTGAAGAAAGTCGACGAGAAAACTTTATCAGCAACCTGAAATAACCGAAAATAAAATGTGATACGTGATATTAGAGGTGATTTAGTTACATCGATTCCGCCGTCGAGAAACAGCGCCCCCATTAGAGCTTCGAAGCAATTTGCCATCGCGTGTCGCAGTTCTAAATCGTGGCATAAGTCGGAACCGTGAGCGTACAGCATGTATTGGTCTAATTTTAAAATCTTCGCTAGTACAGATAGGTGCTGATTCTGAACTATTGCCGCCCTAAAAAAAAGCGTTTAGCATTGTAATGTTTATAGCATTTGACATTTATTTAAGAGTATGGTCTGATATTAATCAACATATCGATTACTCAGTCCAAAACTAACCACTCTGCTTAATATTCCTGAAAAACTGGTTAAATTAGGGACACAGTTACCTAAAAATAGTGACTCACAAGTCAATTCTCTAACCGTTATATTTTTATGGATACCATTTTGTCCATCTGTCACAAAAGTCACGCAACTCTCGGCTGTGGTCCAAATGTAACTAACAAATTAGTTTTTTTCAGGAACCGCTGTCAAAAAATCCTGGTTAGTTATGGTTAGTAGTCGGTCAATATCGACCCATATTGTTAATGGTCCGATATTAACCGAAATATCGGTTACTCGGTCCAAAACTAACCACTCTGCTTGACATTCCTGAATAACCGGTTAAATTAGGGACGCGGTTACCTGACTCAAACGTCAATTCCTTAACCGGTATATTTTTACGGATACCATTAAGTCGAATGTCAATTTGTCATAAAAGTAACATAACTTTCGGCCGTGATCCAAATTAGTTTTTTTCAGGAACCGCTGTCAAAAAAAATCTTGGTTAGTTACAGTTAGTAGTTGGTTAATTTCGGACCATACTCTAAAACATTTGATTATTTGATATTTCATATGCTTGTGTCAAAAGAAAATAAACCAACAAAAGATTACTGATGCTTATTGTTGAGACAAAAGAAAAGCATAATAATATACATATTATTTATGTTACAACATTAATGTTTCTCACTTTTATAAGATGATAAAATATATCGATTCTAGACCACAGGTTCTTTATTCAACTTAGAAATATTAGCATCTGTCAAAAATACGTTTTGACATGGAAATTGAGTTCATTTAAAGTGAGCTAGTTCCGGCATACCTTTCCTTATGTCAATTGTCAATATAAAACTAAGATCTTAGCTTATTTCTTAACTTCTAGCCCAAAGACTAATACATAATACATGTAACAAAAACATTAAAACCGATATTTTTTTTACCTATATGTTGCCAAACCTCCTTCTTCGAGATCTGGAAACGAATAAAACAAATGGATTGACGATAAAAACTCCACTACGGCATCACCCAGAAATTCCAATCTCTCGTTGTGAGTGATATTTGATTCAGTTTCTTGTAATTTTCCAAACCGGGACATTATGTTGATTAAAGTGTTAATTCCTACAAAAGAAAATGACACCGGTGATATAAATATCAACGAACAAATTGTAGTCAAAATTTCCTACTAATTGAATATGTCACTTATGACGTTGAAAATAATTTTAACTCAATAATTTCAATATAAAATCAAATCAAATAAGGCACTAATTTGACATTTATGCAATTCTAACCTCTCTTTCTAGTATTCATGTAGTGTATCCTTCTGTCTCCATATTCGGGTTGACGTATGCCGCAGTTGGTAAGACTGTTTCTCGCGTGATCGGGATTGGTCCCGAAATTTTCCTTGTATGATGGATGAGTTAGGGCGAGTTGTAGTAGAGCGCGATTCACGAATGTATACTGTACAGACTCTTCTAGAACGTTTAAGGAATGATGGAACCTCAAATGGCACACCAGTACCGGTATCAACATGGCGTGCTATGAAAAATTAACAATGACGTTCGAATTAAAACTGAAAATGGACAATTTACCTGTATGACGTCGCACATGATACCAGTTCTGTAGAAACCTTCGGACGATACCGCTACAGTTACATCCCTTTTCATTTTTCCTTGGGTTCTCATTTCTTGCAGTCTATTTTCTTTCGTTTCTAATTTCCTCTTGTCTTCGTAAGTTGGTTTCGACATGTTGGCCAGCAGATGGCGAAATTTGACGTAATCGCGCCAGGCTTTTTGATACCTAAAGGGATAAAAATAATGAATGTTGGAATTCTAGAAATTCTAAGGTAATCAGGGAGAAAAATTTTACGAGGAATTTTCATTAACAATCAATGTTTAGTGTGAGTTTTTTAGAACATGTCACTAGATAGACATTATCGATTTTATAATAACTGAAATTAACATTTAAAATACTCACTCTGGATTTCCAGCGTAGCTCAGCTGCGGTGGTCTGATTCCAAAGTGCACAATTTCCGGAAATTTGTATTCTCCTTCTTTCTGCAAATCTATATTCCGATCCAGTTGATCAACTCTTACCGAACACGGTTTTTTGCCGGGGTAAGTCACTACCATACCCTAGAACCAACAAATATTACCAGTTAAGTTGCTGGGCGTTTCTTGACGTCATGCGTCATAGCGGATACGAAACAAAAGATTTGCAATAAAATAAAGAATAATCCTACTAAAGAGAATATAAATGGCAACATATTTGGCAAACTAGTAAAAAACGCAAAAGAAGGTACTATCAAAAATATTTGGAAAAAACCTATTTCTTTTGAAATTGCAGAGCCACTGGCTTACATCATAAATATGGTATAGTGAACTTGTGAGCCTTTTAGAAGCGAATAAATGTTTAAAAACCTATATAAAAAACTCCTGACAATTAAATCGGGACTTTTATTATTATTTCAATATCATCTAACCTTATATCAAACCTTACATGCTAACTAACAACCCTACACCCTACATAATATGGCATTAAAAATAGTTGTGTGTGGGCGGGCACAAATGCGGAACCGTTTGAATGCGCAGTCGTAACGCCAATCTACATCTTAATATTCTTGAGCCTTGCAAAACCTCATTTTGAATCATTTCTTGTCATTGAAACTATTAAATAACAATATTAGACTATCCATAGAGCAATAAACCATAATTCCTTTTGCCTCCAAAATTTAAAAACTGTTGGTGACACCAGAGTGACATTTTATCTACTGTCGTTTGAAATCATCAAGTGTTGCCAGATTAATTCAAAGATGTCCCCAATAAACACAGTTAATCGGTACCGTAACTGGGACGAAGGAGGCTTGCCGGATGCCGGACTTAGCCCGATATACGGGTTCAGCTTCGGCATATAGGTAGGGCATGTCCGCCCAGCCGAATGTCGGCAGCCCACTACACTGTAGCCGCGTTTATATATCTATATATAGTTCGGCCCGTAAGGATGCCTCCCATGCCCTGCTAGCCAAATATTTACCGCGTTCGACCCATAAGGATGCCTCCCATGCCTGGAAAGTCAAATATGGACCATATGCGATTTCTACTTCTAAATTACGTCAAATGGTACGTCCTCCCGGCTCAGAAGCAACCCCGACAACGACAATCCGAGTATTCAGCTTCACCGTACATGCCGGTGTCAGGACGAGCGAATGCTGACTATTTGTGGTTTACTGGCTCAATCGTTATTTTTACCTACGTCCCTGCGTTGTTCCGAGCCATAAAAAAATGCGATTTTGGATATCAGACAAATTGTATAAAACTAACAATTTAAAAATGGTCAAGCGCTTCTTCGTTCTCATCGATAGATTACTTCTTCTGAGTCGATATTGACATGTTCTAAATTGCAAAGATTATACAATTTTCGCGCCAGTTTTAAAAACTCTACAAGTACTGTTGACAGCGTTTATAAAACATATATAGAGTCAAATTACCCGGTATATGAACTCTAGGCTCTGTTTAAAAAGAATGCGCCATAAAATAGCGCCAGAACGAAATAGCGCGTAGAACCAAACAGTGCCTGTAGCTACCGCGGGGTGCTACGAAACATTTGTTTACTTAAAATTTAAAAGAACTAATTTACCTAAGCTGTGCGGCCTGGAGCCACCGCAGATTGTTTCGCAAAAAAATTATATAAAATGAGAAAAAAAAAAGGAAAAAACTTAACTACTTTACCTAACCTATGCGGCCTGGAGCCATTTAAATTTAACTGATTACTCACGCACTGGTTAGGTACGGCTACGCAATACCGTGAACTTTTTTCAAATATCCTTCAGCTTCGCGCCGATATCTCGGCTACGCTGTATAGCCTGAAGCTATTGCCAAACAACCATTGTCATTTCGATCATATACGTTTTCTTACTATATTTGGCAACCCCCCATTTTAAAAACCAAAAAGTAAGAAATTATAAACGTTTACGAACATTTTTTATATGATTTATTGCTTATATGGGTATTCTAATATTGTTATTTAGCCGTTTGTACAACAAGAAATCTATTGGAATGATTTCATTCACATTTTTTTATGATCGATGCTGGACAACGCATTTTGCGAACCCAAAATACACTGCTCAACAATTAAAGTGGATATTTTAAAAATTTTTTTTTTTTTGTCAATAATTTAAAATAAAATAAAAAAATCATGTAACATAGAAAACATTTTATTGATTATAGGTATGACTGAAAAGAAAATCCATTTAATTGAAAATTACAGGAAAATTGAAAAAGTAACAACAAAAAATTCTTGCATTGTGCACTTTACAAAATCCCTATAAAAAAAATAATACCTTGTTGGAACTCCCCTGGCTCGTCTTAGTGCTGTCATATTATTTGGCATGCCCTCTATTAAATTATTGATAAATTGCTGAGGTATGGTTTCCCAAATTGTCTGCAACTCATAACCCATCTGTTCTAAGGTTTGGGGAGGCTGTTGACTTCGGTTTAATCGCCTAGACATTTCAGCCCAAACCATTCTTGTAATTCCACGATGTTCTATGCGATCGTTTCCAATTCTCGCACGATGAGAACGAGTATTATCGTCAATAAAAACAAATCGTTCACCTATTGCACCAAAAAATGGTACAATTATCGGCTCTAAAACCCTGTCTAGATATTATATGGCAGTCATTGTCCCATTAGTTAAGACCACTAAATCAGTGCGACCATTATAACATGCCTTCCCAGACGCAAACTGATCCACCACCAAAAACAGTTGTTGGGGCCATTAAATTGTCATTGTATCGCTGTCCTCTTACTCGCCATACCAATATTCGGCCATTACACGTATACAAACGAAATCTGGACTCGTCGGTAAAGAGGCAGTGCCTCCAATTTTGAAAAGTCCAAAAACTGTGTTCTTCCGCCCATTGATATCGGTATGCACGCTGTTCCGCCGTCAGTCTTGGGTGTGTTGCGCGGCGTCTAGCTCTTAAATTACATGCATGCAATCTTCTTCTGATAGTTTAATCAGAAATTACTCGTGCAGTAGCTTGTCTAAAGAAGGTGTTAATTCTTGAAGCCGTAAATGGCGTAAATATTTGGTTTCTTCTCGCAGTCAGGACTATAAAGCGGTCTTGAGCACAAGTCGTAGCTCGTTCTCGTCCTCCCCCATGTGTGTACGCTGCAGCCCCAGTTGCTTCATACCGATTCCAAGCACGACTTACGACACTCTGAGACACATTCAGCCGTGTGGCGCCTTCTTCTTGGGACAAACCTTCCTCTATCCAACGCACTAATTGCTGCAGTTGCACTGCCTCTAATCGTCGTAGCGGCATATTCTTTACTCGAATACACAAAATTATTGATGAAAGTAACATAACAAAGTAAGAACAAGCTCTTCTGCACAACTGATACTTTACGATTTTTAAACAACCTTCCTGCAATTTTCGTGAAAAAGATAAGAGCATTGACAACGAACAATAAACATGCAAAAAATAATCGCTGTGAATACGGTTTATTGATAATACAAAAAAAAATTTTTATTTTAATATGTTTACATATAAATTTCAGGATTTTAGCAATAATCCAGTTCAATTGTTGAGCAGTGTAGTTGTGTGCAGTGTATTTCAAAGTATCTATAAGATTTCTGTAAAATTTCAATAGTAATATCCTCCGTTCATGTTTCATTGTATATTACCAAATATTCATTATCTAAATATTTTTCCTTTATTAATTATTAAATACCTTGATTTCGTCTGCGTAGCTCTGCCATTCGAACTGCGACATATTCATCATTTCCTTCAATTCCGGCTCGTTGATCAACGGTTGGGAGTTTTGTAAGAGATAATGCAACACTTCGTTCATGCACAGAATTTCCTTTCCGTTTTCGGGCAATTCTCTAACAAATCTCGGCATGAAATGGAACTGGGGACAACCCTCCGTGTCGCCGGCAGCCTTGAAGTCCAGATCGACCAGTTCCAGGATTTCTTGGAATAAATATTCGGCTAAAAAAGGGTTCATTTAGATTTTTAATTATGTTCTTTTCACTTTTAGAAACACTTACTGAACAAGTCTAATTCACGAACGGTAAAATTTTCGGGTATTTTTTCTTCTATGTATAAAATCGTGTATTCTATGTTGAAACGGATGACCTAAATAAAAAATTATCTTAATAGGTACTTTCCAGCAAACGTTCCAAACTTTCTAAGCGCAGTAAATTTCAAACAACAGCAATTTAAAAATAGCAGTTCTAGATTTTTAATAATAATAATAATAATAATAATAATAACGAAAATAAAGAAATCCATAGTTACATGGTTGGGACACGTTTGAAGAGCAGTAAATAAAACAATGAGACACAGGAGGGAGTAGGACACGTGGAAGACCCAGATCAGGACGTTTGAAGGATGTGAAAGAAGATCTACACAGGACAGGAGTGAATAATGTCACAAATTCTAAATACAATAAATTATAATCAGTAGTTTTTTGAAGAAATTAAATTATAACATACATAATTAAACAATTAAAAAAAAATTAAACTGGGCAGCTGAGAAGGTGGAATAGAAAAAGGGTTAAAAATAGCAAAGTAATAAAAGTAAAAGTAGTATTTAGAAAAACCAAAACGTTCTTTGGGAGATTGTGCTCCTAGCTGAATATAATATGGTAAGTTTTTAAATTAGCTAAGTACTAAAGTTGTAATTATATATTTTTTATACTTCGTGTTATTTTTTTCAAAATTATTGTTCGTGACAATAATTGGCAAGAAAAAGTACTGGATAAAGGAACATGGAGGTACATTGTAAAAGAGTATTATCAAAGGGATTGAGATTGAACCACCCAAAATATGGATCTAGAGAGCGAACTGCGGCTTAGCCCCACTTGGGACACATAATAACTGAAGATTCTCTAATTAAAAACAAGGCGATTAAACGAAACATGCTTCGATAAAATATTACTGGTTTCCGAAATATAGGGCGTTAAAGTTGAAAATGCAAAAATTATTAATGGGTATATTTTTTTATTTCTCAGTAGAATTTTACTAAATTCGGTAAACTTTGTGTAATAAGATACATCAGCAAAACAATAAGTTACATAAACATTACTAGTCGTATGCTTGATACGAAAAAATAAGCACTGTATATTTTGTACTATTTTGTAAGATTTGAAAAGAGAAGTGAACAATCTACACGTCTCCTGAGTTTTTGTTTCTATGTGTAAAAATTTATAAATTTTTAATACTTTGTATTATACCCTCGGATTCATTGATAAATACTTCCAATAATATATTCATTAACAGTTTTTTACTCTCTCCTTATCACTACAAAAACTGTTAGCAATGAGCATAGAACACCTCTTAACTTTTTCTCTAATCTGCCCTCCCACACTTTCATCGAGGAAGATATTAGAAGTAAGCTTGTGAAACTTGATTCTTCAAAAGGAGCCGGACCTGATAGAATTCCATCGATATTACTTAAAAATTGTCCTTCTTTAGCAAATCCTTTGCATACCATTTTCCAGAGATCATTTGATAGAGGTTATTTCCCAAACAAATGGAAGAATTCTAACTTAATTCCAATATTTAAAACAGGCGACAAAACTAACGTTGGGAACTACCGTGGAATTGCATTACTCTCCATAATCCCGAAAGTGTTTGAATCCATACTGACAGATGAAATCTTTAACTGTTATAAATACTACATTATTCCCAATCAACATGGATTCTATAGAGACAGATCCACAGCTACAAATCTTGCAGTCTTACAGGAATTTCTCACTACCTGTATTGAAGGGGGAAATCAAATAGATGTAATTTATGCATTCTCTCTTGATTGAGAAACTCGCGATATTGGAATATCAAGAAGTTATCTCAGTTGGATCAAGTCCTACCTTACGAATCTACGACAACGTGTTCTAATTTGCGGGTCAGTGTCACGCGAAGTGTTTTTTACCTCGGGTGTTCCACAGGGTTCGCGTCTTGGTCCTGTGTTATTTATATTATTTATTAACATTTCTTCGTGTTTTAAGTATTCACAGTTTCTCATATATGCAGATGATATAAAAATATTCCTGCAGGTATCACTAGACATTAATTATCTACAGTTAGATCTGAATAGTTTTGTATCTTGGTGCGAATCAAACCTTCTGCAACTAAACGTATCAGTGCAAATTGATGAGATTCTACAGATGTACCAACCCCAGTAATACTCTTTAATACATAAATAACGACTCTCTGGAAGTAGTTTCATCTATTAATCATCTTGGGGTCCTATTGGACAAGGAGTTATACTTCAATTTGCACTTGCAGAGTGTCGTTCTGAAAGTTTTTAGGCTACTTGGCTTCATCAAGAGGAATACCAAACACATTCAGGATACTCGAGCAATTTTGTGCCTATTTAACAGTTTGGTGCGCAGTAATCTTGAATACTGTTCCATAATATGGTCACCATCTTATACCACACACAGTAATATACTTAAAAATGTACAAAATTTTTTTTTTTAATATCTTCTCTTTAAACTACGCTTTCCATCCCAGGGAATTGCTTACGAAACTGACTATTACTGTGTGGGGTTCAAAGATTGGAACGAAGACGACAGGAAGCAGGACTGTTCTTTCTAGACACATTACTTAATGGCCAGGTGGATTGTGAAGATTTGCTAAAATTAGTCCGTTTCTTTGCTCCTTCAAGACGAACACGTCAATTAACTTTATTTCATGTAAGGACTCATACGGCAAAAATTCATTTAACGACAGGGTATTAGGTAACCATAATAATAATTTTTTAGATCACGATTTCTTTCATAAATCACCGCAAACTATTAAACTATAGATCTCTTCTCTATCTGAATTTCATTGTTTTTTCGTATTGGAAAGATTTGTATTTGTGTTCCTTGATGCAATTATGTTTCTCATTGTGTTTGTATGTTTTTAAATCTAGTTTTAATCTTTTGATGCAATTTATCTTATTATATCTTTGTGTATACTATCTTCACCAGTGGCGTACAACACGAGTAAGTAACACTTTCATCCCCTCCAAATTTTACGCCACTGTCCAAAAACTTATTTGGACTATACTTTTACGGTTTTTGTGTTTTAAATAACTCATGTACTCTCTTTGGGAACTCATAAAGTGATTGGGTTTCGAAAAATGTAAAAGTATAGTCCAAATAAGTTTTTGGACAGTGGCGTAAAATTTAGAGGGGATGAAAATGTTGGTTGTCCGTTTTATAACCCACTCGTAAAATTTATTTAACTGATAGTTTTGATAATAGGTGTATCTTATGACACCAACAATGTTTACCGAATTTAGTAAAATTATACTGAGAAATAAAAAAAAATTATAGCTATTAATATTTTTGACTTTCTAACTTTAACTTAATGAGACACCTTGTATATATTTTTAAATTGTCCAAGCTTAAAAAGTTGAAAGCATTTGCTGTTATTTTTTGTAACGTCTTGAATTTCGAACATTAAAAACAAAATAAATCTTATGTACCTTACAATTGGGCAGTTTTTCCAAAGGATGATGAGAAAACATCGAAAATCCTTCAAAAATAAATTCGTGCTCGTCATGATGAATGATAGTAGGGGTTTTAATCAAAAAATTGGTAGGAGGAGATATGGTTATGCGGTAATGGTACAACTTATCAGCACTGTTGCTTCCTATGTTGCACGGTGTAAGATGTTCTTCACCTGGATATATTCCGTGACGGATACCCGATTTTTTGGATTTAAGAGAACAGCGACATAGTGGACCGTCGTTCATTTCTCCTGGTTCATTAAACCTAGAAAAAGCAATGATAAACAATCACCAATAAATTCTTGAACTAGAGAAAAATTGGAGCAGGATTCGAACATATCTACCTATAGATTCTTGTGGAATAATAAAATGCAATACTTGCCACATTTCTGGATGCAACCTGTCAGGGTGCTGCTGTTTCCTTTGCAGCTCTTCCATTGTACAGTCTTCTTCGTCAGTTAAATCTTCTTCGGAGCTGTCTGAACTACTTTGAGCTTCAGCTAAAAAATATATTACGTAGATTTACAATTTTTTTTGAATCAAAATTTTACTCATAAAAATGTACCTACAAAATAAAACAAATATAAAAATAAACAGTAGCAAGTTCTAGGTCATCATTTATAGAATCAAAGGTCTTCAGTGGTAAAAATAAAACCTAATTAATGAGCTAGGTTTTAATAATTTTGTGCTAAAAATGTATGAAGATTTTTTTCGTCCAAAGGTGGAGAATCCAAAAAAGGAAAAGGCTTTACTAATGATTACACATATATAACAATTTGGAAATCTTAAAATGAAAATCCCAGTTCCCCTAAGAAACTAAGAAATCCATTCCCACAACCCTAAGCTGACAACAAACCAAAGCTGTACTGAAAAAATGCTGCATATTGGCTCAAAGAAGAATTAAGAAAGCTGGGTATAAATGTGTGTACTGACTAGATTAGAATTCTGATGTCTTTAAATTGCCAATTCGATTACTGTAGCTGTAAGCTTTAGAAAATATAAACTTGAGGATCCAAATTTGATTCCTGGCTGAGGCTCATATTTTGAGATAAAGTAAAACATTCTCTAACTCACTTTTATGTTTGCACAATCTAGCCCTGTTCTTCCTGGGCGGTGGTTCGTATTTCGGCTTTTCCGCGTTCACTCTCCTCGCCCTCATAACCAGCTGCTTCTCAAAATCTTCGCAAAGTTGCTTGAGCTTGGCCGTGCCTATCATTATTTTGGCATTTTCCGCATCTCTAACGTAAAACAGATCTGCCGGAGTGGATCTGGTCCAGATGCTCTTTTCGTTTTCGAGTATATCGTCGATCGTCATCGCTGCAAGTTCTTCTAATTTGTCGGAAAGTTGTTGTTTGGTCGTGCAGTAATTTTTTCGCCATTTTGACAGGAGTTGGTCGCGTTCTGATGTCGGTTTTCTGGACCTATCTACGGAACGGGGCCTGGTTGATCTATATATTAGAATTGTTTTGAGTGCAATTGATGTATTTCGCCATTTTACCAGTTTAAAACAACTTACCTGTAAGAAGAAGCGGGACTCGGATATCGTGATTTAGACCTACTTCTTGATCTTGGCGATCTGTGTCTTCTTTTAGAATCTCTGCTTCTACTTCTATCTCTTCTGTATCTTTTCTCTACATTCCTATCTAAATCATCAATTCTAATTATTATAAAGAGAATTAAAAGGTGCAAAGCGTATTTGAAAATGTTCAATAGCCGACAGTGAATAAGTTTTTATTTTTTTATATTGTTTTTAGGTCGTAAGAAAGTAGTTTTAAAGTAATTAAATCATTTTTAATACAATCTTCAAAATAATAGAAATAAAATATTAATAAACACCTAAAACCTCTACTTTTGTCATTGGAACACAAAATATGCCATCAATAACATAGAGTATTGAGAAATAATCTACGGTGGTTTTAGTTGAAAATTAGCCAGTTCAAGTACGAGTAGATGACTCTGGTTTTAAAAAAGCAAATAATGTAATGAGAACTCTGAATGAGGAGTAAATAGGTGTTGTTTTTCCTGTAGAGGTCCACATGCCATTGACACTTTAAATCTGGCGCAAATTAGATAAAAACTGCAGCGAAAAACCGCTAGCTAGCTAATTTTTGTGAACAACTTTATCGTATCTATAAGTATTGAATTTTGTCAGTATAATCATAAAATAAAGGGTATACCATTTTTTTGTATATATCATTTTAGTATCTAATAAGATTGACATCTAAAATGAAATTAAAAATAAATAAAATTATCCCTTAATAGCATAGTCAAGCGGCTTTAGGAACTAGTTATATACGCTTCTAGTCCTTAGGGGTAGAAATACCAAGGCTTCACAAATGCTCGGAATATTTCATAACTAGTTTTGGAAATGGGAGGATAGAATAATAATAAAAGTGAATAAACAGTAACATGTATATTTCCGTTGGGCTTTAGTCATATAAAGCATTTGCTTTATTTTCTATTTCTCTAATAATTGTAGATTCAGTGTCCTTTCAGAAAGTAATTTCTTCCTCTATGTACTTAAAATAATGTTAAAAGTAGCAATTTTATATTCGTATATCCGAATATTTTTTTGATTATAACGATATTTAGGTTCTGTACCCGAAGGGTAACCAACAGGACCGTATTATTAAGCCTCGGCTGTCCGTCCCTCTGTCTGTCAGCGGGTTGTACCTGATGATCCGTAATAGGTAGACAGTTGAAATTTTATGTTCCTGCTATAACAACAAATAATAAAAATAAATTAAAAATTAAATAGAAACGTGTTTTTTTTTTGGCTTTTTTGCTCGATCTTAATAAAGTATTTACAAACGACCTACATAGCATTATTTCTCGTACAATGGTGCGGAACCCTTCATGCGCGAATCCGACTCGCACTTGGCCGGTTTGTGACAGTTTGTAAGAAGGACCTCAAGTCTCTGTATCGCTATCTGGTGAATGCAAAAATTTTACCCAACATTAAATCAAATCTGTCATTTTGCGTGATTTTGGTCTACTTTAGAAACATGGTTTTTGGTTCACTATATATTTATTAAATCAATTAAATGACTCGATCACTCAACCGGTAGTCAAATAGAAAGCCGATTTTTTATAGGTACCTATTATTTTAATTTTATTAAAAAAAAAAAGAGGAGTGCTAGTTTATGTATAACTCACTCTACTTACCTCTAGATCTACTACTTCTTGATCGCGAACGTCGTCTATCTCTTTTTCTGGCATTGCTGCCTCTGTATTTATCTCTACTTGTTGACCTTCTACTTTTACTAATCGACCTTCTAGGTTTACTAGTCGACCTTCTAGATATACTAGTCGACCTTCTAGATATACTAGTCGACCTTCTAGGTTTACTAGTCGACCTTCTACTTTTACTAGTCGTCCTTCTACGTTGACTCGCCAATGGACTTATTTCTCTACAATAAATTACTTTATATTTAGTAGTTTTTCATAAACGTATTATTTCTTAAAACTGGTCAAAACATTACAGAAATAATTTTGATTTGAAAAAGTAACAGGGTAAGTACCACAAAAAGTTTTAATATTTTTCTAAGTATTTTTTAAAATTACTTTAGAAAAGTTGTTACATAAAATTATAAATGTTCAGTTTTCTTTGTTTTCGTTTTTTACGCTGATTGGTACCTAATACAAATTTTCTACATTTTATACAGTAACTATATCCAATTTTATGAATTAGTAATTTCGTGAGCATATATAAAAAACATCCAGTGCCTAGGTGTTATAAAAATAAGCTCCCGTACAAATTTAAAAGTTTTTTTTTTTTAAGTAGTTTCTTAAACATATTTTTTTTTTGATTTGTAGGTTTACTGCCAGTTTTATGATGGCAGACACGAAAAAAAAATGCAGACAATACAGTTTGGACTACTTGAAGTTTGGATTTATTCCATCTCTATCAAATCAACATTTGCCGATATGTCTCATATGTGAAAAAGTATTCCATGAAGCCTTCAAAAAATGGAGGATCACTTATCAAGAGTACATGCTGACAAAAAAGCCCTTGTCATCCTTTCAAGCAATTAAAGAAAAACTAGAGAATATGCCATCCACAAGATCGATATTTGCATCATCATAATGTAACGAAGTCCCTAAATTTTATTTTTACTTAATTATAAAAATTACAATTTTTAATCAATTTCCGCCTGGGAACCTTCGGAAGAGCCGTTTTTAAACATTTGCGAGAGCCCTCGTAGTTTAAAATATATCTGTATTTATCGAAATGCGGATCGACTTTTAATATTCAATTTCATGTAAATTATCTAGATATATTCATCAGGTGTCAAAAGGGCGTTTTTTAAATTTCTTCCGCAGGTAAACACTAAAACTGAAGATGATAACTTCCACTCCGAATTGCTTGTCGTCGGAACCAGTCTGATCGGCAGGTATAAATGCAAGAGCCAACAGGAGCTGAAAAGAAGGATAACTCCTAGAGCAGGTTATAAGGATAATAAAACGTCCTAGAAAAATGTAAAAAACTTATATGAAAAAGTCAATATTAAACTAATAAAAAAGGAGCTGGTCTCTTTTTCCGGCTGTTCTGCCGTTGCCTCTTTTCTCTTTTTCCTGCTGTTCTACCGTTGCCTCTTTTCTATCGCTGATACTCCCGCTGAACTAGTTCGAACCCGTTCCGAGTGAAAAGTTGTGCTAAAGTTAAACCGTAGTTTTGCACCCGTTTCGATACTTCAATTCCTAGGTAGGTGTTTTTTTAAACTTTATTTGCCCGCTGATCTGTAATTCAACTAGTACTTATTACCAACAAGTTTATTAAAAATTATCGTGAAATAATCTTGTCGAATTTCCTAAATGTAACCTACAGAGGAGCACCAACGTAGAGTTCGACGAGGAACCATCGTCAAGCCGTAATTTATCTAGTACGTATTGTCAACAGGTTTATTAAAAATTATCGTGAAATAATCTTTATTTCCAAAATCGAAATTACTGAGGAGCTCCCAGGATAAGGAAACTTCGTCAGGCCGTAATTCAACTGGCGCTTATTATCAAAAATTTTATATTTATCGCGGGTAGATAGCGTTCGTCGAAAGTACCAGTCGAATAATACTTGTGCCCAGCTGTCCGAAATGTAGAAACACTGATTTGCGATTCAATGTTAAACCAATAAATTCAAATTCGGCATCGTGTTTACTGAACTACGTACTAGGACAGTTTTTCTATTATTTTTTTTTTTTCAATTAATTTATTAAAAGCTCTTTTTCTATTATACAGGGAGTGCTGTAAATTTGACAAAATGTGCAAAATTCTGATTTTTATGAAAATTGTTGAACTAAAAGTTGTTTGCGATATCGATCTCTATAATTTTTGTTTTTACATGATTTTTCTAAAATGGACCGTAATGAAAAAATTGGAGAGAAAGTGCTAAATTTAAATTTTTCAGTATTTTCGTTTTCAATGAATATCTATAGAAAAATGTTTAGAGTTAGATGTATGTGGAAAATGTATATATAGTTAGTTTATCCTCCAAACATTTATAGAGGTGCTACAATAGGTTGTACAAAATAACCGGAAAAAGCCTATAACTAGATTGGAAAGTCATGTGTTGGACATATCAGGTTTTTTATTATTTCAACCTTCACTTTCCCTTTACTGTACTGCACTGACTTTAGTGTCTACACTTCGAGCATATTACTACTAGAGCCATCGTCCAAATGGACTTTGTTTTGGTACAGGAGAGTGTCCAGCATTCCCATTGGTCTGCTTCGTTCTACTTGGCATGTCAAATGTGTCATAAATCGTTCGAAATTGTCAGAACTGTCATTTAGTTTTTGATTTTCATTAATTTCTAGTTTATTTTTGTAGTTTATAAGTGATTTTCTGTATTTTATAACTTTAATTATACAAATTTTAACAATAATGAGTTTGTGAAAGTTGTAGATATAAACATGAAAAGGCATCGTCAAGGTCATTTCACAAGTAAATAACCATTAGCTTCTCTACCATTTTTTTAAAAAGAATCAAGTACCTACATTTTATGCAAAAGGCTGTTAAACATGAAATTAAAATAAATGGTTAATTTAGTGAATTACATTTCTAGAACTTTTAGGCAGACAATTTATAATATTGTCAACAATCTGGCTGTTTACAAGAGTTTTCAAAATGTCAGCCAAAACGTGTCCCCCCCCCCCCCTCCCCCCCGAAAAACGAACATTAAGAGAAAGGCGTGATGTAGACATATGTGGTAGTGCTATCGAGGTGGATGATACACGAAGCACCACCACATTCATTGTTAAGGAATTGGAGATTGCACACACAATTGTGGCCAAAACTTAAAAAAGTATAGGTTTAAATACAGTAAAACTCATGAATTATTTCCCGGTGATCAGATTCGCAGGATGGAATTTTGTGAAAGATTAATGGAAAAGGCAAATCGAGATGAGAATCTTGTAAAAAACATTTTCTCTGACGAGTCGTCATTTGCATCACGAAGCCGACACAATCCTTCCCGTCTGCCAAAAAGTTAACGTCTGGTCGGGTATTCTCGATGACCAAGTACTGTATGTTTTTTATAAATTAATTAAAATAAAATCTCAAAGCCAGTGCCACATAGTTAGTTATTAGTTTGATTTCTATTTGTAGTATATCGTTTACGAACATTTTTTTAATTATTCGAAAAAATTCTTGTATTGTAATTCTCGTACACGTGCGTTAATAGCTATCATAAATATTTGTATAATATATTTACTATTTATATTTTTAAATATAAGCTTTTTATTGCCTATTATTTTAACCTTAATTTTTTCTTTATACACTTTCTGATGTTTGAATTAAAAAAATCTGATGTGTCCAACACAAATAATAATTTACTACTACTAGATAGCTACTTAAATAATGCAAGTTTACAAAATATGTGCCTAATTTAAAGAATTTTTAAGGTATATATCAAATTTATTATTTATATTAATTGCAAACCCCGTAAAAATGATCCAAACAAACGCTGTTGAATGACTGAAATATATATGCTCAAAGTGTCTACAGCATTTCCCCTTCGATACCAAACAAACCTTATTGAATGCTGTCTCTATGTCGGCTCTCGTTAGTCACAGCTTCCAGCTTTTACGTTACTTTCCACGACTAATCTAAAATCTTTGACTTCTCTTGATTTTCCAGAATCTTCACTCGTATTTCTCAGCGACGATACAATAAAACCAGTTTTATGAAATACAGTCAGTAATATTTAATATCAAGAACAGACTGGCAATTATATAAAAATTAATAAAGTTATAATAAATAATTAATTAAATAAGTGTTCATGATGTATTAAATAGTGGTAACAAATAATTTGCATAAAAAACGCATCAACAAAAGTTTGTTCCCTAGTTAACAGGCAATACTGTTTATCATACATTTGACACTAAATAGAACATCAATTTTTGCTAACAAGATTAAAATTAAATTACTTTTATAACAATCGATCAAAAAATCATTCAACTTTTTATTATATTTACAACAATTGACAAATTATTAACAACAGTAATTACTTAACATTTAAAAGTTGAATAGTACTGTCACGCGCCAAATGTCATCGCCAATACCATCTAAAATAGACTCTCCCATTCGATTTCGTTTTGAAACACCTCGTCTTCCAACCAAAGATAATAATTCTTTCTAAACCCTTCCGAAAAGTCGAGATTCTGTCCCAAAACGCTCGTTAAATTATTATCCACGGGTTCCAAATCCAAATCGACGGCGGCATTTTTTACGTATCTGCGATTATTGAACTTATCGACAGCAGTTCTAAGCATGATCTCTTCAGCCTGAAAATCCCACGGTTTGGCATCCAAAAAATTCCCGTACGCCCAATCATCGTTAAGATGATGTCTGACTTTCTGGTAAATCAAACTCACCGTTTTCAAATTCGATTTGCGCCAATTTCTGCCCAAATATTTCGTTTGCATTTTTAACAATTTGAGCACGTATAACTGCGCCATAGCGTGGCGAACCTTTAACGCTTTCTTCAGTATAGGAGCAGATTTGAACACTACCAGCATCATGATTCTGGAATTCTTCCATTTGCAGAGCTTGTTCAATACTCTGAGCAGGTTGATGCTGGAGAAGACGTTGCGCCAGCAATATTTAGTATCGCAGCCTATTTCGATGGTCGAAGCTAGCAGTTCCATGCCATCCCCTAATACAGACGAAGGAAAATCCAGCACAGGAATGTCATTACCAGCTTTAATATACGTCATTATTTCTTGGTTGAAGAATTTCAAAATAAGTGGAATGCAATTAGCGAATACTAAATGCTGAGACATGAATTCAAACTGATATACATGGTTGTGCTTGAAGTGCTTCAAAAGAAGCAACAATATACCAGAAACAGCCTTCACTATAATCTCTTTGTGTCTGTTGACATCGATGCCCAACTTCATTGATTGGAACGATG